CGTTCATAACTATCAAATGATGGGTTCCCCAAAATATCGTTTCAATATTCAAGCCCCAAAAATGAAAATTTTTGTTATGGACAAATTATCAACCATTTTACCCTAACAGGGAAAGACATGGTTAAAACCGGGTCGATATACTCTGTTACTAAGACAGCATCAAAACAAAATATCATGGGTGGCATCCCCGCTCGCCCTAAAGATACTATATTTTGGAGACAGGAGCTATGCCGGTGTAATTTATCAATGGAGACCGGATCATGAGCATCGAATATGAGTCTTCGTTCACTGAGAACGATTGTTTTCCACGACCATTTGTTTATGTTTGCAGAGGCGATTAAATGATGGAAGCCTAATTCAATCGCCCCGAGTAAGGAGTTTCAATATAATTTATCTTGCTTGCAAACTCTGGCCATTTTTTGGCTTGATATGCAATGAGGTGGCGAGCTAAAACAAGATAAGTCTGCACTACTTGTCGTTTTGATGACGATCACTCAGCAATCAGCTCGCTCCTCTTGTTAATTTACATTTTTCTTTTTCGTTCGCCAATCCTCTGAACGGTTCGCCATAGAGGGATCCTGCCCCCAAGCTTCAAATTGACATCATTAAATGTCCTTATAAATGTGTGTTGCGAGGTTCTGAACCGTGGACCAACAGATAATAACTAAACCTGCACGAGCAAGCGTCAGAATTTTATCACACGGAATGTACACTAGGATGACTTACCTCGCATAAAACCGACAAAATGACAATCAATTATGGGCCACGGCTTTTCTATCGCCAGAAAAAAAAAATATAGAAGGGCATTTTTCATTACAAACAGTTGTCAGTTAATAAAGAAAAAGGAATTCTCTTTTCTTTCCTGAGAGTTTCATCTACTAACCTTTAAATAGGTCAAGTCAAAAACACTGTTGTAAACTTGTTTCGACGACACTGGTTTTACGGTGGCCTTAATTTATTTACTTCATAAGTACATTGCGTGTGGTTTGGACTTAAGTTAAATAAAGTACTGTAAAAATTAAAATTGGAACAATTTTTGCCTAATAGCTTGAACATTAAAACTTAATTTATTCGAACAAGCGGGTATATTTTTTCTATGTTTTAGTTCTTTTGAACAATGTAATACAATGCTGATCGTATATTCTCACATTTTGCGCGTCCTGCAGAGGACCTGACACTGAAATGAAAATCAGGAGCTTTTTGATGCAAGGTATTTTGGAGATTAGTTCATTTTTAGTTACAAAAGTACACCTGCTGCTTCTTAAAAAAAGTGGACATTATTAGCTTTTTAATGCAAGGTATTTTGGGGTTAGTTCATTTTTAGTGACGAAACTTACACTAACTGCTTCTATTGCCAAGGTGAAAAATATCTTCTTCCTCGTGTACGCTGTTTTTCTTGAGAAAAGCAAGTAATAACAAATCCACATCGCAGTCACCTCGCAGTCCTCGCCAAATTAAATCGTACAGTCATTTTTAATTAAGGTTTCTCTCAGGGCACGATCATAATTCAGCAAAACTTTAATTACAATTTAAAGTAATGACTTCTCAATTTAAGCTTCTGGCATGTTTTACCTCGCTATTAGAACAGTCTTTCGATTTTGCCATGGTTTTATGTTGGAAGACATTTCGTTTTTCAAATCAGACCGTTTTAGAGGGGCTTTGAAATTGAAAAGAATAAAAAGCAAACTGAAGGAGTTCTGAAAACGGAGAAATATTGACTTCACACTGCAGCGGGAAATTTTTTTTTTGTGTGTTGTTAAGTTATATTTACATAGCTGTCGAGAACAAAAGAGGTAACTGATAACATAGAAACAGCTTTGTTTTAAAATTTTGCCCTTTTCAGGCAAATTTTTTCTGTAACTCTGGACCTGATTCTGTGTAAAATCCATGTAAGAAACATTGATAAAATAAGACTTAAATAAAAAAAAATCGATGTCCTTTGAAGCTTGACACACAGAATTGTAACCATTTCCACCAAGCTCACCCTTGATGATGTGCGGACGTGAGAAAAAAATTGAGTCGGAAATTTCAGTCGGGAACTGCTGGAAAAAGTCCCGATTAAAATAACTGAAATAAAACGTCAATCATCGGGCTTTGATTTGTTTCCTTTGTTTTGTATGTCAGCAGAATTTAGTTTTGAGACAATATCTTCTGTTCTTGTGATTAACTTTTTTTTCTGTTATTGAAAAAGCATATTTTCTTTCACATTACATCTTTCGGAGAGCTTGCTCTTGCCTGGTAACCCTCATTTTGGTGTATTCGACTCAGTCTTTCTAATTTGGTGTATTCGACCCGCTTTTCGGCCGCATCTAATCAAATGGGTTGTACACGGCTAGATCGGATGTTTGTTACACAGAAAGATCTAATCCTTCATGAAACTCTGACAATTCCCTCGTTTAACTTCCTTTGTCGATAGATTAACAACCACATACGAAAAACGCAGACGGCAAAAGTTACTTCTCAATTGCTTAATTCTCTTAAAGACAATTTCATTTGCTGTTTTTCTAATCCTTCAAAAGATCCCCAAAAGAAAAATCTTCTTTTGACCGTCAAGCCAATTCTCACAAACTACTGAAAAAAATTCTCAAAAGATTAACCCCTGTCGTTTCCACAAGTGTGTCCTGCTGATTCATATGATCGTAAGAGGAAGTTAAATATTGAATTATAAGTAACAGTGGTAAGTAGGAAGTAAATAATAGATATTTGGGTTTTATAACTTAGAAAAAATAAATAGACAAATTTCTCTTTTTACATCTCGTAAAACAGCGCTGATAAACCTGCGTGACCTAACAAAAATTTCTTTAAGGAGAATGGTTTCTGTATGGGGGTTCCATAACTTCCCCGTTAGACAGGTCATGTGGTACGCGCTGATATTGCTTTGCAAAATAGAGGAAATATTTTCTTACCAGCAGTATTTAATTCTGTGTGTTTTTTAATGATTGATATAGATCTGTTCAGCGATAACATTTCCGGCAGGTGTTTATTTACAGTACTAAATGGGTTCGCTCTTTGTTTTGGTTGTAATTGAAGGTTGGTTTTTATATTCCACTCACGTAGCTGTAAGTAGCGTCGTGACTTCTACTCGAGGGTGGAAGGGGGAGGCTCTTTAAATGACCCCTGGTTAAGCCAAAAATTAATGTGACATTTGAATTTTAAAGAAAGGCAGAGTACATTGAGGTTTGAAGTTTTCCCTTTTAAATTCGTGACGCGTCATATGCTGTTTAAAGTACACATGAAAAGTGAATTTTTCTGAAAGACTTATGCGCGAAACGGAATCAGAGTTCCCCCCCCTCCCCTTTGCACCCTCTTTGTTAGAGCGTTAGGTTTGGTCGATTGACTCGAATAGAAATTGTGTAAAATAAAATATAAAGGTGATGAGGGATAAAAACCGAGACTTATGCTCGTGATGCCAAGATCTCAGTTTGGAAAATCGCTACTGAGTCTTTTTGTATGCAAGAATTTCTTCGCTCATAACATTCACCCTTACCTACTCTTGGTAATAACAAAAAGTCCAAGTCTTTAAGAGCTATGAAAGAAATTTTAGGTTATGAAGCTCATAGCAAAGGCTTAAGAAATTCGAATTTTGCAAATTCGAGCCGAAATACCGGAAGCGTGGATGCCGACAATTAGAAAACATCAAAGCCAGCGACGCACGGTAAATCAGCGAACGCCTGATGAAACCATGGTACACAGAAACAATAGCCGGATCGAAATGCACCAATCGCAGCAGACCACCATGATACATAATGCTGTGCCTGAACCAGTCAACCCCATCGCCTGAAGAAGACTTGCAGTAAGCAGTGAAAACGTCGCGATGTACATCTAGTGACTTTGTCGTGAGACAACAGAATAAATTTACGTTATCAAGATAGGTTATTGCTCACGGACAGTTTTACTCTGAAGGCCATTTAGGAGAATGTTCGTTTACGTTCATCGTAATTCACATTCTCATGCGGCTGATAGTAAAAAAATAAAGCAAATGATAATTGGACTAAGGCACACACACAAACACACCCACAAACAACACACACACTTTGCAATAACAAATTGTTAAACTTACTAAGCTAGGAATACATCATTTTAAACAATCAAACAATGGCCTCAGAAACGATTAGTGTTAATTATAAAACTATGTACTTCGCAGTTGATGTCGTAATTTACAGACTCAACACCATAAAATAAAAAATTTAGTTTCCTAGCATCGCTACTCGATGATCATGTATCACCTAGAATATTAGCAATACAAGGAAAATGTTTCACCGATTCAGAGTCAAAACTGCACTTGCAAATAGGCGACACACAACTATTAATTTGAAGAGATATTCTCTTATACAAGAAAACCCAGGTCTAAGGTGGGTGTGATCAACGGATGCATGCACGCCTTGTAAAAGAATAATCAGATAACCTATTATAAGTATGCGGGAAGATAATTGACCGAGTTTTTGCTTTCAAAGTGGGAGGAGATACAGAGTTTCGGACATCTAGGTCCAGAGAATTCCAGCCAGTGATTGCTGACGGGAAAAAAGAATTTTGAAAGATAGAAGTTCTACAACGAAGTTGAGTGACGTTTTCTCTTGATTTGAGACGAAAATGTGTACGTTCACTGAATAGTTCGGACAATAGTTCATTTAAATAACGTGGAGCAAGATTCTTGACTATTTTGTAAAATTGGCTTAATTTATGTAGTTCTCGCCTGATACTAAGAGGCTCCCAAGCATGTAAACTGGCAGAGCTGGTTCCCTTAAAGGCTCCTGTTACCAGAATGCAATCCATGAAAAAAGTTAAAGCAGCGTCTGCGCGGTTCAAAGAATAAGCAAACCTAAAACACCGTATACGAAAACAATCATACAAAACCAGATTATATATGTTGAAGCCAGAAACTTTAAGATTTTCCCTGTTCTTCATTATTGTGAGTATATCCTTGTGTGTTTAAGTAAACAATGATTGTTCTATTAGCTCCTTCCTCTTTCTTACCTACCCGGTGAGCTCTGTTAACTGAATCATCGCTGACTTCCAAACCAATTTTTCCCTGCAAAGTGATACAAATTTAGTAGCACAATTTTCGTCTTTCCCTCTGCAAAACCAGTAACTCTCACATTTTGGCGACGAGAATACTGCTCGTTCTCGTTCGCCTTCAAGGCCAACTTCTCAATGGTTTCTTCCAAACTTTTAACTTTCTCTCTCAGAACGGCAATTTCCCCTTTTAACTCTTGAATAATATCCAACATATATTGCAGCGTAAATTTTATTGTTCAAACGTTCGTACTTGTTCCTAAGAGGTTGTTGAAAACACCATGGCGGCCTCCATCCTTTCACCTTCTTTAACTAAATGCTTACTTGCGCTATTTAAGAATACACGTGCGAGTTTTTATTAAAAAATAACAAGATAGTCAGCTATTTGTTTGATATCCTACGCTTTATTTAACATAATGCATCGCCTATTTATGATAATTTTAGTTTCGGCCGTGACCAAATGTTCTTAAGTATAGGGATTCGCTCGTGCACACGAGCTCCAAGTTAATAACGAAGCTCCCAGGCGCAAAACATGTCTGCTATTTTATCATTAATGCTATTATCGTTTACTTAACAAAACCTTTAACGTTCAAGAACGCAACAAATTACCTTCTAATTTATATTTATCTATCATCGAAGGTCTATAACTTGTTCTGTAGTATGAGTCTTGTTGATGCGACACATAAAGACAGCGAAACATTTAGCGAGCAGGTCTTTAACGGCTGCACGATAATTAGAACTAAGTGTTATCAGAATAAATGGGTTGATGGCTGTACTGATCAACGGAAATGTATAGTATAACAAACCAATAAATAGAAGACATTTGTCATCCAAAAAAATTGTTGGATGTGATGATTTTAGAATCAAATAAATATAAAGAGGCGTCCAGCACATGAAAAATCCCAAAGTCACCGCTCGAAAGATTTTCAAAATGTTCTGGTTTTCTTTGGATCTCCGTGTACGTGTGTTGCCTTCGTTACTGCTGATTTGAAACACAAGTCGCCTCTTTAGATGCTTAAAACCAATAGAATGAACAACTAATAGTACAACCAGAGGTATAAAATATAATAAAATGAAACTTATGAAATTATACACTTTAAAAAGTAACATGCTCATAAAGTTTGTACAAAATGTTTGTCTCCCCTCGAGTACGATTTTAGAATGATAAAAGTACGGTATGGCACCTAACACAGGAAAAAGCCAGCTCAAAAGAAGAAGAATTCTCCGAACCCTGGTAGTGATCTTTATGGCCTTCAGTGGAAACACAATTGCAATGAATCTATCCAAAGATATTAACACCAAGCTCTCAATCGACACCACGTACAATACAGCTCTAGAATAAATCCCCAACTTGCAGAAAAAGGTAGCGATTGCTTGATTAGTAATTAAGCTTCCTCCAGGCTTTAACATCCCTTCTGTGACATAGAGCGGCCAATTAAGGAGCACGCTTACCACATCCGAAATGGCCATGTTGATAATGTACCAATTAGAGCTTGTTTTTAGGTTTGAAGTTCTGAGGAAGGCTGCAATCAGGAGGAAGTTTCCTGCAACTGCTGTAATAGTGATCAATGAAAGAGCGACTGTGAAGACAGTAGAAGGGACAGCAGAAAAACACTCTGATTGGCCGATTTGAAGATTTGTCGTGGAGTTGTTCATTTTCAGTTGTAAGAATCTTTTCTTTTTATGCTCTGGTTGCCGCTGATATGCCTCTGACGAAGGACTGTCAATCCTCGGCTTTTTGGAAAAGACGCTGCGTCTTTCCTGCTGTAAATTAGTTTTTTTAAATTGCTTATTATTTTTCTTCTGCTTTTTCACCTGCTAGGTGAAAAAGCAGAAGAAACTTCAAAAAGCAGAAGAAAAACACGGTGCCAGTTGGAGACGAAAGACGAAATGAATGCTTAACTCGCTGATTTATCTTGTCTTTGAGGAATTCGTTACATTTGCACAGTGAAAAGAAAAGACTTTGTCTCCCTCTTCCTAAATGTTCTGGGAGTTATAAAACGAATTTTAGGAACTTGTGACGTTTTTGGTCAGCACAAAGCATACTAAAACCACAAGCAAATTCTCCTCGCTTTGCAATCGATTTCAATTCTGTGTATGTAATTTGCAGTTGCGCTCGTTAAGAGGGAATATGCCTGTACACGTTAATTCTTTTGCATATTTGTTTCACTTAATGAACCAAACAGCCGCTTTTTCACCCACTTGCCACGAACAGTTTTGGATCTCAAGAATTTTCGGACTGGTAATCACTTTGTTTCCAAATTACATTCACTTTTCGCCATTTTCATTGTTGATCGCATCGCCTGAATTGGGGGTTTAGAAATGCATTAAATTAATATTTCATTACCTAAAAATAGCTTTCTTCATTGATATTTCTTCATTGAAAAAGGGTACCGAGTTCTAAGTTAACTGAAACGTTGAAAAGAATCTTTAAATCAATTGAATAAACCGTGAATCAATAAGGAAGCGTGGTACAGCTTTTTTGACATTTTCGACAGTGTTTAAAACGTAAGTCCAGGTCATTTGTGCTGCAGCTGTATGTTCTGTCGATCTTTATAATGATCGCCTCACTTTGTAGTATTTCTCGTACTTTGTTATGAAAAGCAGTCTCACTTTGCAATAAAACTTGTCGCACACCCTAATTAAAAATGTCACGGCTTATAATAACAATTATCGCACTATGTAATTAAGAAACTGTCCCACTTTGTAACAACGCAAGTCGCTCTTTGCCGGATAACAATTATAGTTGTCACGTCTTTATTCAAATTTTGTAAAAGGATCACATGCTGTTTTCTTCAGTATTTTGTGCGTGCGGTAATGGTTATAACTAAGTATGTAAAATTCAAACTATCAGTTTATCACTGAATTTTTTATGACGAGTTTGACGAATTCACATACCTGAACTGATCATGATAATGTGATGATGTAAATGGCTTAGTATACTTCATAAGGTTGAGGATGCCCTATCAAGATTTAAACTCGACTTAGGGACTAGTCATTAATTATCATCGGGGGGAAGGTGGACGATTTATAGAAATTGACAGCCCAGCAACTGCCAAAGAGGGTAAAAAGTTAATTTTATCGCGACAGATACAAAATTCTCCACCCCCACCCCCTAGGTGATAAATAATTTTGACTTTCGTGTATAATATTTATACTACGTCGCAAGACTACTTTTTCAAACAAACTTTCCTTAGAGGAGGCCAATATTGAATTGATAACATAAAATAGTTCATATTTTGGCGTTTTGCGAAAGAAATACTTAGAATTAGGCTCTCTCTGATGCTGGGTTGTCTGATGCTGTCTGGATCAAGCAATAAACCACAAGTATATGTCATGGTGATCTTCTAAAAAACGACACTGAGACTATTACTTTACCCTGTCTTGCTTCGTAGTAATTCAGTGATTATTGACTACTACTATAACTTGTTTAGGGAGTGTTCACGAGAAAACCAGGCGGAACCTGGCAGAGTGTGATAGTGCTTGGATAATGAGACTAGTTGCCCGAAAGTTTATTGGATCAAAATCAGTTTCTGGTCAACTGCCCACCTACCCACCCAACTCAACAACAGTCATTTATAACAAGTTGGGTTTAATGTTGGGTCAGGGGAGGGGTAGGTGGGCAGTTTCCCAGATACTGATATTTCCATAGAAATTGACGGCCCAGCAACTGCCAAAGAGGGTAAAAAGTAAATTTCATCGTGACACATACACCCCCTGGTGATAAATAATTTTATCATTTAAACTACGATTTTATACAAGGATTTCTAGCCCTGAGAAAAACCGTAACAACACACGTAAAAAAATAGGATATTTTTCTACGTGTGTTTGATATCGCCAATCAGCTGCTGACACGTCACTCGCCTTTCGCGCCACTCGGTCAGGTTGACGAATGAACGGCAAAGCCTTTACCATTATCAATTCATAGTTTTTTGTCGGAATTTTCACGTATTATGGCTGCTAAACCACAGAAAAATCTGTAAGGCTTACAGAAAGTGACGTTCAAATTTTCCTAGATGGGAAAGAAAACCAAAATACGAAAAGAAAAACCGAAAGTACCGTATTCAGTGGCTTTTGTAATGGTATTTCTCGCGGCTGAGAACTTAAATCGACAACTTGAAGATTTGCCACGAGCCGAGTTTAGCTATGTCAATAACTGACAATTCTGTATAGAGGAAATTACGCCCACTGTTGTTTTATAGTGATTCAGCGCTTTTCTTTTTCATATTGAGCTTTATCGCCAACGCACTTTACGATTTTTGTTTGGGGATTGTCGATCCTTTTATTTTCATTCCCTAATAAAGTCGACTTTTGTCGTCAGTCAAGGGCTATTGTTTTCATATGATAAACAAAATAATGCATGGTTGCTTGTAGATATGGAATTGCTCTTCTCGTGTTCATCTTGACATCTCACTCGTTCGCTGCGCTCACTTGTGAGCTATCGAGTTGAACACTCGCAAATAAATTCCATATCCACGCGCGCCCATGTATTATTTTCTATTTGTTTTTTTTCGTGTACAAACTTATGCTACGCCCCAAAACTAATTTTTCAACCGTACTTGCCTTTGAGGAGGCCAATATTGAACTAATAACATAAAATGGTTCGTGTTTTGACGTTTTTCGAAAGAAATACTAAGAATTAGGCTCTCTCTGATGCTGGGTTGTCTGATGCCGTCTGGATCAAGTGATAAACCATAGATATATGTTACGTTGATCTTCTAAAATAAACGATACTGAGATTAATACTTTACCTTGTCTTGTTTTTGAGTATTTCAGTGACTTATGACTAGTACTATAACTTGTTTACAGAGTGTCCATGAAAAAACCAGACTAGTTGCCTAAAAGTTTATTTCTGTTTTTTGAAGTTAAGTAATGGTTTTCACAACTCATGTAGAAATGATGACCAGAAGTAGTTACTTAGGGGAAATATTGGGCGTTAAGATTTCCTCAGTTTGGACTTTGCCAAAACAAGGAGACTTAATCTTTATGTTAAGGGGGAGTAGGGAAAGAAATAAAATTGACAATTTTCATCAGTTTATTGCCCTTGAAGTCGGGCAGATATAGAACATAACCTGATATATTTAGATGGTTTTCCTGTTTGTCACAAGAGCAAAGTAAATTTAGTTAAATAGTTATTCAAAAAATGCAGAAAGTCGAGGTTTTCCAGGAAATTAAATTTATTTCGGCGTTTCACAATTACACAGTTCCCAACTCAATACACCAAACATTTTTAAGTCAAATAAATTACTTAACCTCTAGTAAATTTCAGAACATTTCTGAAAAAATACAATAAGTAAAAAATTACCGAAGAGTGCTGAGCACTCAGCTAACTAATAAAGAGGTTTAATATATAGTTTCAGGCAGCAGGCAACACTGCCCTTTTCGATTGAGAGTGCTTCTTAAAAATGGATGTACAAGGCTTCATCGTTCCACATCAGCCCATATAAATATCTCCACGTTTCTGTATTAACGATCGCCAAAGGAGGTCAGTTGTTGCTGGGAGGATAGCTGGATATGACTTCTAAAGAGATACTGTTGTAACGCGCAGTGTCGAGTTGTGTTCCGTCTCCATCTACCTCAGTGAAGTGTGCATATGTTAAAAGTCAACACATAGAAATACTATCGAATAACTCAAACTTTTTCTGCATTTGTAATAGATAACACAACCTGGGTGGTGTTCTTTGCTTTGACTGTTTTTAAAACGAAAGGTTGCGCCTACATTGCTATGAAAATCATTGAAAAATTTTTTCTCGAAAAAACGTTTCCCAGAAGTCAACAAGCATGTTAGTACTAAATAGACGCAAACAAAGACGGTAACTGGGTCAGTTAAAATAAACAACTCGTTTAATCATTGCCAGGGGACATAGCCACAGAATAAGTAAGTGACGAATACTCTCATTCTACTTCAAATTCAAAATTATCCAATAACTAGAACCATTTTCGTCTAGGAACACGCGAGATAATCTTCAAAAAATGTTTTAACTTTCCCTTACCAGAAATAGCAATTCCATCAGATCTTTTCTTGCAGCTGAACCATTTACAGCGAGTCACAAGGCAATAAAACCAGCCTACAAGGACTGTCCTTACCTAAAAAAGTTTTAAAACCTCTCAAAATTAGAAAGAAAATTGCTGATTTTGGTGATTTCGACGTAGAGTCGATAAGGAATAATTATGCAAATTACATAAATCCAAGCAAACCAAAAAGATATGGTGGCTACAAGTAACCATCTTTAATGCCCATAGTTTTTAGTTTAATATCTCTTAACTGGCGTAGGAATTACAAATTTTCTCAGCCAGTGAAAAAAAAATGCCACTGAAAAGCGAAAGGTGGCAAATATCATCCTCACCTTTGGAGTCGAGAAAGTGTAGAGTACAGGATTTACAGAGGAATTTACCGGCAGGACAAATACCGCAAACCATACATACGCCACACCTTGTTCATCGTGAAATTTTCCCGTTAGAGCAAGAATACTCAGAATTATTACAGGAATCCAGCAAATAAAGTCTGTTAAGATGATTGCGAAAACCCTCCTTGCCAACGCGGACTCTCTTTTGATGCTGTTCAAGCTCACTTCAGATTCACCGTGAGCCTTGACTCTCCTCTGTGACTTGGACACTTTCACGATAATAGATATGTACGCCAACATGATGAAGAGGAAAGCTGCGAGATTCAAACCAATAAAAAGGCCAACAGAATATTCCCAGCCTGCCAGTCTTTCTGAAGACAACTGAAGAGGTAGACATACCGAGGAACGACCTTGGAAAGGGAGGGACATTCTTTAGAGTGAACACTAATTCCTTTGTTTGTACACTTTAGCCCCAGAATTTAACACAATTTTTCATTGTTATTTATACATAGCCAGTGATTAAGGGGGAAGGGAGAAAGAGAAAGGCAACAAGTAAGGTACCTTTGTCCATGAAGTAAGCATTGTTTACTTTGGAGATGTGGCTATATCATGATATAGGATGATGTGGTTTGTTCAGGGACAGAAGGTACGTTAAGCCACCATTATGTTGACAACAGATCTTTTCTATCAAATTAAGGAAGCCCCTCAAAACAGAAGTTGTTTCGCCCTTACATAGCTTCATAATATTAGTAGTCAAATTATTATTGGTTATGGAAACTTAAGGAATGCCCCATAGTTTCACAGTCAATGAAATGATAACTGCGAGGTAACTAAGAGCAGAACAATTTTTACCATAGAACCCATATCTTCTTTCCTCGTTGAAAAAGTACGGAGTATCAAGAGCTGGTACCACAGCAATTGCAGTTCCGCAAAGCCACACCACGGTACAAATAATGTAAGTTCCTCTTAATGTCAGACGTGAGCATCTGAAGGCAAAAACGATACTTAGCAGACGGTCAGCGGTTATCACAGTGAGCATGAGTACCGAGACCTCACTTGAAAGAACCGATAGGGCGCCGGCCACTTTACATTGGACTCCTGACCGCCAGATCAGATCGAAACTGAAGTAAGTACCTAAAATGAAAGGATATGATATATGTGCTTTTATTTTCGTTTGAGTTACAAAAGGTCGAAAAGTTAAATTCAAAATGTACGAATGAAATCCTGAAAGTGTTTGATAAATTTGTCAGCGGGAGAATTCCTAACATTAACTTTGGCACTTGTTACCAAGGAGATTTTTGTTCCACAGTTATAAAGATGTAGACAAACTGATTTTTGCTGACTAATTTCAAAAGCGCATGAATTAAAAAGCATCTTCCATGTCTTTAAGACGCAATTTAAAGGTGAACCCGAAGCTTTATAACTTCATCGCCGCTATTGTCAAGTCTTTACAAAAATGTACTACTTTTAAAACATAGCTTGTGATTCTAAAGCACAATCTATAACTGTTCAAAAGTATTTTCAGGCTTCATCTGCACTTAGAAATACTGCATAATATGTACATGATATGTAAATACCTGCCCATATCTGGTCCTTAATAGCTATTATCATGAGATACACTCCCATAAGGAAATCAGCCACAGCCAGATTGGTCAGAAGGCAGGTTTGAACTGGATGGTCGTCACGCCTGATGAGACGCCATGCAATCACTGCCAGGTTACCAACGACAGCCAGGATACCCAGCAACCAGATACTCCTTCTAGGACCAGAGGCATCGATCATGCGATTACAGCTCGACAAGGCGTTACCCTCCAGCTTTGGATACTCACAGCTTACTTTCTCAAGGTGAAGAGAAGCGTAGCAACACAGGGAGAAACTATCCATTTTCCTTGAAAGAGATGGAATATCGCTCATTGTTGGTAACAAAATAACCAGAGCATCAACAGTCTTAGGATTTTTAACGTCGCGCGAGTCATAAAAGTATATGTAATTCTTCGTCAAAAACTAACCAGGTCTAAACCTATAATCTGATGGCCACTGATTAAGTAAAGTCACCGTGCATATGGTTTCAAATCATTCAATTTGATTGTCCAATGTGCGCAAAGTTGTTGATAAGCAAAGAATCCGAAGTTAAATTGAAAAATTTAAGGGAGGTATTGACTGCTCTAATTGCATAAAAGGAAAGCAATTAAAATTTATTCCGTACTTACAAGTTCCGTAGACTTTTAAGATAGCTGAACGTTTCTGGAGGCATACGATATAGAAAATTGTTTTGTAGACGTCTAGGAGTAAAATTTATTGGAAAATTTTAGGGAACAATCTTTTGAATGGTCTTCTTTGACTAAAACTGCAAGTTTTTAAGTGAGTGGGATCAAATTTAGAGAATGAATCACCCATGAAGGCATTAGTCGTGAAGTTGTCTTTCTATGTATCATTTCCGATGGCTAATCTTGTATCGCAAATTTCACTCATGACTGGCCGTCGCAGTTTAGTGTTTTTAATAATGCAGTTTTAGCCAACAGGAGATTTGCGTCGGAGCCGTTTTGATTTTTTTTCATAAAAGAGAAAAATGATCTGTTAATTTGTAGTCTTTGTAGTCTCCTTTCGTAAGAAGAACCACCCTGGTTAAATACCTCTTTTACGAAATTTCTGGCACGTGTTGCATTCTTAATTATAACTCGGGAAATCATGCATGAAGCTGATCTTTTATCTCTTTTTGGATAACCTATTTCTTCGTGTTGCATTGTTTGGCATAACTGCTATCAAGAATCGAGTACCAGCAATCCATTTAGTTTATCGTGTAATACTCACAAGTTTTTCAGGTTTGTAAGCCCAGAAAAAGCGCCTGGTTGGATTTTTTCAATCTTGTTGTTATCCAGATACCTTTAAAAAATTTTCAAAGTTTGTAAGAGAACTAAAACACAAGTTAACCATAATTTTATTTTAAAAACATTAATAAAGAGTAAGCTTTCTTCGCTATGTATGAATCAACACTTACAGAGTTTTCAAACTTTTCAGTTTGCTGAAGACGTTGGCAGGTATCTCGACAATTTCGTTGTGAGAAAGAGCACTATGAAAAAAATGATAATTGACACTTATCAAAAACATGTCTTACAATCAAACAAAACTGTACAAAAATAGTAAAACAATGATGATAATGACAGCGATAGTTATAATGATAATGACAATAACAATGATAAGGGTAATGATAATGATATAAGGATAATGATAATAATAACTTTTTATCAGGTTGTCTAACCGCCTGTGAAAATTTTTCATGAAAGGTACAATCATTGGTACTTGAGTGTCGAAACATTAGTCACCACTACCAACACCAGTTCTTTTCTGGAGTAGTGATCTTACACAGATGATCAGAACACACGCTTAAGTGATAATCTTAGTTTTAACCAATTACTGTAATAGTAATAAAAGTAATAGCAATAATAACGATAATAATAATAATTGTAATTATTATATAGCTGGTCAGTTAATCCAATATTGTCGGCGCAGCTATTATCCTTTAATATTTGAGAACTGTCCAGTTAAGGATTAATTTTGGATAGTTTCACTAAGGACTTTAAGTTTAAAATTCACAAGCTGTCCTATTTAAGAAAAATAGGACTGTTTATCTCAGCCAATCAAATCAGCGCAAAGTATAGCGTGAGCCCTGTGGACTTCTTGTGTTATTGGTTGAAAATTGCAGAATTTAGCGAGGAAGATTTGCCCAATTTCTCCATTTCTCTGAATTTTTTCAACTACAGTAACGCAAATGAGAGATTTACTTCGTTGCCAGAAGGGGAGCTTACCAACCTAACAAGCAAAAACCAGAACCAAAACACCTCCAAGGGTACAAAAACTTAGCTGAACGTGTTTAACGAGTAGAAAGTGCAGCGTAGAGAAGCAAGAAAGTTGGAAGATGTCCCTCGCCATGAGCTGGATGTAATTCTTGCCGTCTTTTGCTGCGATTCGAAAAAGGGACAGCGATGAATACGAACCAGTCTGGCCGTCATGCAGTGCTCTTTGGACCGCCATTTGAAAAACTGCGACAGAAACCACAATATCTTTCGAGATTGTGAGACAGCAACTTGAGGCGAAAGGAAGAGATGTACGAATGAAGAGTTACGGAAAGTGAAAGAATGTTTGTCATGCTTTGAGTTTTTTTGAGTAAGTTTTTTGTTAAATTGTTATCCTATGTTATTATCGAATTTTATTTGGATACTTCAAAATAAAAATAAAAAATTTTCAATTTTTCAGTCTATCTTTTCACAGGGATAGTAGTTTTCCTGAAAAGGCTGTATTAACTGACCAGCTATATAGTTGATAAGTAAGAGGACTACATGCTGTCCAATTTGGAAATAATTGAATTTAAAAAATTCCTCTGACAGCCAAATTGGACTCGCCTAAGGCCTCGTCCAAATTGGGCTGTCCTCAGAATTTTTTTTTCCATCCAATTATTTCCAAATAGGACAGCATATAGTCCTATTACGTATACTAATAATAACGGTAATAATTATGAAAATAGAGATAACGATAATGATAATGTCCATTAATTCCGTTTAAAAATGCGGATCAAAAATGAGCTATCTACAAGGTTAAAATATTTATGAAGAACAAACCAAATATCTTCGACACTAGGTCATCATCAAGGTGTATTAAAACAAGAATAATAATAGCAAAGTATAAAAAACGAGGAGCTTGATATCTCTTTGGGTTGGAGGGGGGGGGCTCGACATTTGAGCACTTCTGTACTTTTTGTTGAAGATGAAATGAATTAGATTAATGATAGATTAAAAACATACAATTTGCTAAAAATTACTATGGCAGAGGGTAAACCATCTAGCTATCTACACATCACAGCGAGGGAATCAAAATCTTTAGGACCAAGAGACAAATTCAATTCAGTTTCAACTGATCATTGCCAGTTCGAAGCTAAGGTTCCACAGAAAAGCAATGTTATTGAAAGATTTACATAAACAAGCAAACGCCTTCCCCTTTCAGGGATTATAATGTCTGATAGTTTAGTTTAAAACCGTTTTTCGTCATATGATATACTACACCTTTGGAGTCTTTCTGCTGTTGAGTTATATCCAGAATTTTGGGAGATGAAAATCGAAACATAAATTTCTCAACGTTAACCATTGGAGTCCACTTACAGCGTTTCTAAGCTTTGCAACTTGTCGAAGATGGGTTTAGACAGTCTGGAGATTTTGTTGTAGGAGATATCTCTAAAAAGAAGAGACAATCTAGTTAAAAATATTGTCTATGTTTAGGAGCTTTTTCCTTTGTTTGTTAAATGCAAAACCTTGTAACTGAACAGTAATCTGAACCAGGCTCAAGAAGTATGACATTTTTGCCGAGACCTTTTCAAGTCTTGTTTACTTAATTTCTGTTCAAAATTATCGACATGCTAAGTATTATTGTATAAATATCATATAAAACCAAACTGTTCAATTAAGCATCCTATCATTATGACTAGTGCTACAAGGGAGCAGCTCTAACAAGTCAGTCTATTATAAATGAACTACCTGCTGTTGAAGTTACCATGGCAAGCTTAATCCCTGTTGGAAGGAGAAGGAAACCTTCCATATGACCATTTTATCACATTTAAAGCGTCATGCTTCCCGATAATAATCGCGATGGCTGGAATATTTAAACATTTTCTCTCACGTACATGAAACCGTTATTGAATTTTATTCAGTCACTCCTTGAAATATAGCCTTTCGCTTTAGCTCTTTAGTGGATCATGAATTCATTATTTAAGACAAAATGTGTTGTAGGATCATATATACCGGTCAAATGCTTAATTACAATCAGGGGTGAAAAATAGAATAAAACGAAGCTTATGAAGTAATATGCTTTTAAAAGTAAATTTTTTGTTAGGTTTCTACAAAATGTCTGTCTCTCATCGAGTAAGATTTTGGAATGTTTAAAGTATGGTATGGCACCTAACACAGGAAAAAGCCAGCTTAAAAGAAGAAGAAGAATTTTCCGAACCCTGGCAGTGATCTTTATTGCCTTCAATGGCAACACAATGGCAATGAATCTATCCACAAATATTAACATCAACCATGTAAAATACTGTTCTAGAATAAAAAATTAATTTCTGAGAAGCGTGGCCATGCAATATGGATGCTAAGGCATTCTCATAATCATATGTGGAACTCTCTGAAACTTTCTTTCAGCGAACTAATACTGTATTAAGGCCACAAGAATTTTGTGAGCTTCCGGAATCTTCTAAGATGCCCTATAATTGTATAATATATAGATTTAGGCAAGCCTAAAAGCGGAGCTCGCATTTTTTTTTCCCGCACGTCTCTTCAACAAACTAAAGCCCCTACAATTGATAAAGTGCGTGGTAATATTAATGGATTTTCATTCGCAACTTCTCCGTGTCCGTTTTGAGGACTGATTATAAGATAGTGCCCGTGCTACAGTTGGCCGCGCATGCTAAAAGTAGCACCTTGTACGGTCGGTCGTACGGTCGTACAGTCGTACATCCGAATTTTTTCGGCTTGATGGGATTTTGTATAATTATGAGGCTACGCGAGCTCCGCTATAAGGAAACGAGCAGTTGTGCTTCTCGCACGCGCTGATTGGCTGTTTCGAAGGTAATTAGTAAGTACTAATCTCGTCACTCAGAGCAGCATTGGAGACAGAATCTCGCGTCAAGCAGTGAATGTCTGATCATTTTCGGTACAGTGACAGAAATAAAGTAACTTTTTGGTTTCTTTTTGGTAGATACTATTCACCTCAGTGTTCGGCGGTAAAGAAGAACTTTCTGCAACCTTGGGAGCAGACTTTAAGTGTGCACTGTCCATCTCCACTTCTGGAAATAATACTTAATTATTGTGGGCGACCGTGGAAGTTTGCCTACAATCAATACTCTCGGTAGAGATTTTGGGGGAAGAGGTGGTTACTGCGAATTTGTATCACTGCTAACCGAAGTTCAAGTAAGTTGTGATCTCAAATTAAGTTTATAGAATATTGTATTGTTTAAGAGTTGCTCCATTGTAGCAGTTATCTTACCCAGTTACGATTGAATAAATTACTTGCTTTTATACTTGAAGGGTTTATTTTTTGTCGGTTAAATGGCCCATTTCCAACTTATCCGCATGTGTCAGAGAACTGGTGCCGAAAGTAGCTTCCTCACATAAATCGATCAGTTCTGTTTTTCGTTCTCCTTTATATTATTACCGACATAACTAAACTGAATGCCTCCCTCTCGCAAATGATTTCTAAACTCTTCCGAGTTTAATTTCAAGAAATCCTCTCTCAGTGATGTTTTCTCCATCGAAATATCCATTTTTTCAATTCAAAGGCTTCATACTTTTCTCACCGCCGAGAGCGACTTTGCATTCAGCCTTGTTCTTACGCTTTAATTTTGGCACCAGATCTCTGACATGACCCACGAGAACTCAGAAATGGGCTATTATACTATAAAAATTGTATTTAGCTACGTTAATGCGACCTGATATCAAGGATATTGAGCAGAGGATACTTACAAAACTCGTAGCTTCGACTGGTCTTGAAAAATATTCGATGGAAGTTTACTTAACTCATTGATGGAAATATAGCTATGGAAACATGTAATTATTACTAGTTATCAAGCTCTGAGTTACCCTTAGTTTTACATAGTTTATATTATAGTAAAAACAATCTAACGTTATCTCAAAATACTTTGGAAAGTAACTCAGAAACTGCTCGCGCTTTGGTCGGCAAACATTGTATCTTTAAGTTTACTAGCAAAACTATGGACATGTAACAGAAGCAATATAAATGTCACTCGATTTCCATAGGTTCACTGGTGTAATAATACAATTTGGGCGGTGAGATACAGTCTATGGAGCATTTCGTAAGTCAACCGCTAGTAACTCGTGTTCTATGAACATCCATCGTGGGTTAATAGCCCAGAAATGGATAAAAAGTGTTGTCTATCGTTTTAGACGGGTGTGAAAAAGTACTACAGGTAATCACCACTACAATAGTATTTAACCTTCGAAATATAGCGAGAGTATTTCACTGAGGACAAAGAAATACAGCACAAAAGACGCTGAAAGTAAAAAATTACGTGCAATTGAAAACACTCACTCACTCACTCGGCACAAATTGAATACTCACAGTTCCTCTAGGGAGAATAATTTCTCAAACGTGCCCTCCGCTATCCTACTAATCCGATTCTCTCTTAGGTCCCTAACAAAAGAGCAACACCAAAACAAACTTAATCACGTGCATGCTTGCCGCCTATACTGTTCAAGCTGTAAGGAAATGAAGTCATGTTTATTCGTGAGTTTAAAAGCACTTTTCAGCGGTCTCACGAACACTCTTCTTTTGTTTGATACTAACATACATTGAAAAAATTACAGGCTTCTGATTGGCTTAAAACGAGTGCATTCTCATGTAACACGAGTACAAACTTGTAACACGAGTGAAAATTACAAACAGTGCCCACGGTTTCAAAATTTCGTCTGCCCTGCCCTACTGTGATTTTTTTTTTTTTTCATGTAAATTATTATCAAGCAATAACGTGATTTCTCTTGCAGTTTGGTGTAATAAGCACTTGAGCCCGGGCTCGTAAAATTTGTTGTCTTCGAAAAACTTACTCGTGCTTGTTAACACCAAAGCGCACTCGAAATCAGGTTATTACCTATACTAACACGAGAACAAAGTTGTAACACGAGTGTAAATAGGCCATTTTACAGTTGTGTACTTGGTTGCCAAGCTTTTGATTTGGAGTGAGGCTGAAGGTGACCTTGTTGTGGTATAGACAAGTACCTGGTTAGCATAACAACAAGGCAATTTACATTTGAAAAGCAGCAAGGTTTGTATCATAACAAGGTCAACCTTAGCTTCACTCCTGATCAAAGGCTTGGCAACCAAGCAGGCAACTGTAATTTGGACTATTACAAATAACGCGCGCGTCGTCAAAATTTTTGTCTGCCTTGACTTTCTGTGATGCTTTTCTTTTGTAAATTATGATTTCTTGTCTCAAAATGAAAATAAAAGGATGCTTGATCATTATTGATCGTAATCATGATATGAACCCGCTACTTACGTAACTTTAGTAAAGTTTCTTGTACCACGAAAGCTTTCTTCATTTTATTAGTAATGGTATTTTTTTCAGAAAAACTGAGACCCCACATGCGACTATTCTTGTCATTCGAGGACTCTTTTTGTCCCAACGACAAAATAAAATATTGATCTTCATTGCCGTCGCTGCCACCATCAACGTCTTCATCAGGGTTTTTCTTATCGCTATCATTATCCGTGTTATTTCAATGCCGGATTTATTTACATATGTCATAATATTGTTAGTTAGACCCCCCCCCCTATATCGTCAATCACAGAAATCCACAAAGTTCAAGTACTTTCTGCTACTGCCCCAGCGACGAATAAAGGCGCGACGAATCTCCTGGGTAATATGTACTTACAGTTCTCGAAGAGACAAAAGCCCAGTAAAGACGTTCGGTCGTAGTAAACTTATCCCATTGTCTGTCAGAGAGCTAAAAGATAATGATATACACTTAGAAATAACGAAAGCTAAATTACTAATAAAGGTTCCAAAAAATCCTTTTGTTATCAAAACCACTATCACGGCAAAAATCGTTCAGAGAATTTCATATTATCTCAATAGAACAGATCATTGTACGCAAAACACGATGGCGCGAACATATAGACTATGACACTTTCCAAGATACTTACACGTTAATATCACCAGTTATGTCATTGGGGTATGAGGGTGGGCGGTGTGTTCTTTCCCAGTGGGGTTGGAATTTTTGATAATACACTCATACTAAAGAGGGGGAGGGGGGAGGGAACCTGTCATTCGCTTTATAGCTGTGATACTTACAGAAATTCTAAAGACACCAGATTATTAAAAGTTCCTTCTTCGATATCCAACAAATAATGATAGCTAACTTTCCTGAATTTCAAAAATTCAATCAGACGTTAGCATAACACACACTTAAAGAGTAAAGCAGTGTCACATGGGCTCATGTGATACTATTCATTTTTCTGTACCACAAAAAAACATGATAACAGTATAACCTAACAACGTAGATACTGTCGAGCGGCTGCAAAATTACATTTTTTCTCTGCTTATATAATTACATGACATCGCTCTTTTTTAAAAATTATTGCTAATGCATACATGAATTACATCATTACGGTGATAACAATCAAAAAGATATTAATAACCTTCTTTATTGCATCGCTAGAAACGCCCGTGGGTAACATGAGGCGAATCCAGTGTTCTGATTGGCTACTCGATAGGGTGAGATGGGCCCATCTTGACTGATCGGGATTTCCCTGCTTTGATCCCGCGCATAGAAAACGTTGCGTAGAGCGGACTTTAAAATTTTGTAATTTTTGGACAGCATTGGTGATGGAGTCGCAAAAGAGGCAGAAGACAGTCCTTTTTTATTCTTAATGAAAGGAAATTTTTTAATATATGATGAATCTTTTTATCGAGCAAGCTTGTTCGGTCAAGATAGCTGGATATTACCCCTTATTTTTCCTTGTCATGGACCTCGGCTTCGTCTTGATTCATAAAAATGCCTAAAAGAACTCGGCAAACTTGACGTGGCGCTTGGTCAATAACGCATATTAACATACTGATACTTCGTCCTTCATTTTAACTTATGATAATAATTTACAGATTACGATGCTTAATATAAATTTGAAATTATTCCTTCTTACTGCGATTCATTACTGCCACTGATGCTATTTCAACCTAAAATCGTTGTCATTGTAATAATCCTTTTAGTTCTTCTACTTACAAGTACTTGAGTTGCTTAAGTCCTCCGAACGCATTTCTCGTCAAATTCCGCCGATAAAACTCACCTCTAATCGATCTGTGACAATAGAGGGAGAAACGCAGGCGTTAATATATCATAAAATTTACTATCACTAGTTGTTACGGCTATTTTTTAATCCTTTTTTTCAATGAGTAACTAAAATGTAAATTATATGATGGATATCGTATTTGCATTCAATCAGGTTACACTTACAAGTACTGCAGGTCAGTTAAGTTTTCAAATGACTTTGGAGAAATATGCCACAAAGAGGTATAAACAAAAAAAAACCTGGAATTAAACAGAAAAAATGATGATTATGAAAAACATGCAATTGATATAATGATATGATATAACTGAAAAATTATTTCAAACTAACAAATATTTTGTAGCAAGGGGAACGTCCCTCGGAACTGTTCCATCGGAGGAAGGCCAACAGTAAACTCGAAACCAGAATGGATGTGAATTCAGTTTGAGACAGTTGCAAAAACGAGAGCATTCTGGAAAGGAAATGCAAAAAGATGGTGAGAGCAACATTCCAGAAGTCATTGTTATCCGCTTGGCGATGTGATAGGGAGATATTACTCGCTTTAATAAGGGTTTTTTATTTATCGTATAAACTTCGATGATATACAAGGATTTTCGGCTTCGGCCCTGAGAAGAGCCATAACAGCGCGCGTGAAAAAATACGATAGTTTTTCACGTGTGTTTGATATTGCAAATCAGCTGCTGACACGTCACTCGAAAAGAAAAATTGTGGGTGTTGTAGGTGTGTGTGTGTGTGTGTGTGTGTGTGTGTGTGTGGGGGGGGGGTGTTGAAGGCCTAAATGTAATAACTGTCCTAAATGTAATAAAGTCCTAAATGTAATAACATTTGGTCCTAAATGCAATAAAGTCCTAAATGTAACAACATTTAGTCCTAAATGTAATAAGCCTCAAATGCAATCGTTTAACTCCTGCAGTGCATTGTTGTTATGGCGGACATCCACATTGATATGTTAGTGACAGCTGTTGCTCCAAAAAAACCGCTGACCAGTATACATGTCACATTGTGGGCCCGCTGATATGAATCAGCGTCTTTTTACTTGCTAGACACAAGAAATATCAGCAGTCGAAGTATGTTCCTTATAGCGGTTTATTGATCGAGTTGAAGAAAATCATTTCCAGCCCAAAGTGGGCTAGTGCTTGGCTGGAAGCTCAATAGGATGGAATCGATTGGTATGTAACCATTAAGACTTTTTGGAAAAGAAATTTACCACAATTGATGATGAACTAGCATGCTATTGTTGATGTTATCGTTCGTGTTAAAGTCTTTAGAAGTGATGCACCATTTTAGGGCAGTTTGAATGATTTCGCTGTGTCACATGTTAATCCAAAAGAAAATTATTATTATCAGTAGCGTTATTGAAATTTTGCACATCAATGTTATTCAGTGTCAATTGATTCTAATGAAGCATTTGAGTTCATTTTTAAGAATGACTATCCTGATTTATTCAATTTTGAACCTGGGGTGTTGCATTTCCAGCCCTCTATGGCTTTACTCCACCTCAGTAATCAGTTCATGTATCATATGACTATAAGTGGAAACTGTTGAGCTTTCTTTTTTCATTCATCTATTTATCTATTCATTTTCTCCACTCACGGCGGGGACAAGAGGTGAAGACAAAAAATGAAATATAAACTTGAGATCAACTTTAAAATGTATGTTTTCCTAATATTTCGGTTCGGGAACTGATGAACCCGTCATAAGGGGCTATAGGAAAAAAAAGAATGGTTCATTAGACCGCCAACTGACCATCATGTATTGAATGGTGTAGCTCAATGGTTCAATTTGACTCTTGCGTGGAAAAAAGGCAACATGTCGAGACCTGTGATCGTGAAATGGGATAACATATCATTGGTCAGTCGATATCTTGCTCTGCAAGTCACATTATCATATAGCTAGCAGCGCACGCGGGCAAGATGAAGTGAATCCTGTGTTCTGATTGGCTACCTGAGCGGGCATGATGGGCCCACCCTCGCCCGTTCGGGATCCCCCGTATTGATCCCACGCAAGAAAACTTACAAAGTTCGTAACTTTTGGACAATGTTTTCATATATACATAGAAAAAATAAACGACCCTCCTGGGTTTATTGTGCTGCAAACACAGTTGGCTTTCACTATCGGCTCTCGAAATAAACAGGCCATTCTTGATTCTTATCAAAGCGAAATCTTTTGCTATACAATGAATCCTTTAATGATTAAGCCAAGAGAATATAAACTCTCTTGTATGGTCAAGATTACTGGATATTAGCCTCGTTCTTTTTCTACTTTTTTTATGGACCGTGACTTCGTCTCAGTCCATAAAAACGCAAAAAATAAAAAGAACTCGGCCAATATATAGCCATTTTGACCTCACGTTCGGTCAATAACGCATATGAATATAGTTTATGCAAACCCGTACAAATCTGGCAAGGGAAGACAGTACAAAAATGCCCTTCTGAGCCCAGAACTTGTCTAACGTGTAAGTCGGTGGACTTCTTTTTCCTTGTAATTTGGTTCATCAAGTGTTAACTTCAGCACTGAGGACAGAAGTATTTCGTCAAAATCTGTTACACTTAAGAGTCTGAGCCAATGATATAGAGAGAGCTATTAGTCAACGTTCTCGTTGCTTCTGCGTCCGTCAATTTGATGCCAAAAGCACATCAGTATTAGAATAAGGTTTTGTAGCCAATGCTTCTCAACCTACGTCTTTAACAAATAAAAAGCCGCTGATTAATATCAGTGAGCCCGCAATATTCCATAAATATTGGTCAGAGGATTCTTTGGTGCAACAGCTGTCACTTTAACATCTCAATGTTAGCGCAGTTAAACGATTGCATAGGAGGCTTATTACATTTAGGACCGAACGTTATTACATTTAGGGCTTTATTACATTTAGGACCAAATGTTATTACATTTAGGACTTTATTACATTTAGGACAGTTATTACATTTAGGACTTCAACAGGGGGGGGGGGGAGGAATCTTACGTATTGACCAATTTTATTTTGTTTAGCTTACAATTAGCATCTTTACCTTACATTGTGTGTTAAATAACAACAAAATATACTCACTCTCGGTGTGAACTAGAATAGTTTTCGTATCCGAGCCGTTAAAATTACTTGCTCTGCAGGTGTAATTTCCTGATTTCGAATGCCATCTCGGTGTATAAGTTACACTTGTGCTATTTTGTAAAACTTCTCCATTTTTCGACCACGTGATTCTAGGAGCAGGTGCACCGCCCGCTTGGCAGAGCAAGCTTTGAGAACAATGCTCTAGCAAAGCCACCGTTTCCTCAGCCACTCCAAAGCTAGGAGAATCTGTTAAAAGACAGATGAAATAATCAATTGACGCCTCCTTTGAAGGCTTTTATCCCAAGGTTCACTGTCGTTTAACCAAATTGTACAAGAGATAGTGAAACTCTAAATAAACCAAACATACACCAACCTCCAGTTTTTAAAGGTTTTGCCTTAAAGCTGGCTTCAAACCCCGCACCTTCACTAGTTCCCAATGTTCCATATCTCTCCACGATCATTTTGTTGCCACTAGACGTTATGCGGTAAGGTGAAGTGCTTGCTTCACAAAGAATCCTGAGGACATTGTCTGACAAAGAATGCCCGTCTCTGACCATAATGTATGTCTCGAACAAACACGCCCATGGTCGAAGATTTATATTCTTGATAGTCATCTCGACATAGTTTCCTTCCGGAACGGTGATTTTCCACTGCTTATATTCAACACAAATGATAAATAAACTTGTTGGTGAGGTTTTGGGTGTGGTTATAGGTGTGGTAAAGGGTGTGTTTAAAGGTGTGCTCCAAGGTGTGCTCCAAGGTGTGCTTGAAGGTGTGCTTGGAGGTGTGGTTATGGGCGTAGCTGTGGAATCAGTTGAACTCGCAATTGTACGTACGCTATTGGCTGTGTTGACTGTAATAGCTGTGGTAAACTGCGTTGGCGCTGTAGCTGGTGTTCTAATCGTAAATGGTTCGTCAGATGGTGACATGGTAGTTTTATCTTCGAAATTGCCTTTTTTCTCCCCATCAAAGGATATATAACAGGAGGCTGGTGCAAATGGATGTATATACCACGTGACACACTGAGGAGAATACGTCGGAAAAGACTCTGACGGCTCAGTCTCTTTCGTTGGCGGGAGGGTAGCCGTCAAAACTATGAACAAGAGTTATTATTATTTAAGGAATTTCTGAGCTTCATATCTGTTTCTGTCTAAATAATGAATGATGTGGCATTAGTGAGTCACCATACTTTTTACGAATGTTGAACGACTTTAAATAAACCACTAAAGTGCATATATGTCTTGATTTTTGCTGAATCGGGCAGCTGTTACGGCTCACGATACCATCTGCTTCTACCTTACCTGCGTGGGGCCGGTGTTAGAGTATTGCATGCCCTTACATTATCATGCATTGACAAAAGCCTTGAGTGTGTTAAAAAACGGGCGATTTGAACTGCAGAAATTCTTAAGACCACTGCCCCTTTAGATATCATAATACAGTTGACAAGGATATCAAGTTGTTAACAAAAAATTTATAGCTGGTTTACGTTAGGAGCACTAAATGGTTTTTGTTTCAGTTAATGACTTCGTGAACAGGATTTGTCAAGAGAGAGAAAGACGTTTTATAATGTAAATTTTCACGACGGAAGTTGCAGTTTTCGAGCTTTTAATTTAGCAAACGAAACTGATATTGTCGAGCTCCTCACAGACGAAATTTAAAACCATTGTTGTGTAAATATTGTAAAGAAAAAGTGGATCAATATCAGTATCTGGACAACAGCCCACCTACCCTCCCCTAACCCAACATTAACCCCAACTTGTTATCAATTGACTCTTGTTGAGTTAGGGGAGGGGTAGGTGGGCAAGAAAAGAAAAGAAAAGGTCTAAAAATCTTGGCTCGAGGTAACACGAGGTATACTCGGTATAGCAAAGAGCTGATACGAGACTTCTGAACAGCTTGAAAAATTAAAATGAAATAAATGTTTGGCACAAATCGATGAAAAATCCTACTTTAACACTGTGACTAATAGGCTTGGCAAAGGAAAAGCTAAAAATTAAAAAAGGAATAGCATCAGTTGCCATGAGATGTCTTCCAAATGTAATGAGGGTTGTTGAATTATGGTTGAAATTGTGAGAAAATCAACGAAAGAAAATCGTGACATCAAGCACTATGCATTTACAGTTATTATTATTATTTGTCAGCAAAATGTGATTTTTTTTTGGCGCCTTGTCTTTAAGAAAGGGTGCGCTTAAAAAAAAATATTTCGCGTTAGACTATTATGATTTGAAAAACATAACAAAAACTGTACCTTTGTTCCAGATGAGTTGAAGAAACAGCCATAGGAGACATCCATCCATTGCTTTCATTTTCAATCAGCAGTGCCGAGTTGAACTAGGGGGAAGACATAAATTAATGGGTCATTTCTCCAACACTTTTTTAAACTAGAAGGTCATGAAATTAATACTAACATCACTGGTCATATTGATGCATTCATCCCTCGGAGACAATTTACTTTAAAACCAATCTCGCCCCTTCTCCTTGACTTAATTTGCAGTGGAAGATGTTTATTTTACCTTCAAAGACTTTCCTTTTATTTAACTAAGAATCGCAGAAGGTATTACATGATTTGCACTTTGAGAACCAATGTACGTGCAGTTACCCATAGCAACAACTTCTGATACCGAATATGTCTAAATTATCAAAGCAGTCACCTAAATGCATGGTTGATGATATTGACGTTCTGCTGTGACCCTTCATAAAGAGCCAGATGTTTGCACATTTTTGCTGTTTACAAGCTTTCTGTAAATTGCTCCTCTCCCCTACGCGCTAAATAGAGCTCAAGCTTGACGTTTTTTCTAAGTCTGTAAAGGAAAACGAGATTAATTTCAAAACACCGAGAGACCACCTTAGATCATCTTCAAAAAATAATTATTGGTTTGCGTAAAAACGAATTATTCATTTGCAGCCCACACAAGAATATCAAAATGAATTTTCCTCGAAGATCTTGGTTAGTATGCAAGGGCATGAAATCTCGTTTACTCGAAGAATCTTGAGATACATAACTCTTTTATGTGCCATACCCCTGATAAAAACCTCGTGCAATTTTTGAAAACGTTTCAATAAGAACTGCGCTAAGCCGAAGACTCGAAAGTGTCTTGGTTAACAGATCTGAAATTGCATTTAAACTTCAAAACAATCTTCAGCCTCCCATCTTCAACTTGGAACCGATAACGATAAAATCTTATTGAGGGTACTCCGAAAAATAATCCAAATATCTGGCCAAGATGAAGCTAAAAAAAAATTCGACCAGTATTATCTTATTTGATTAGCGAGAAGTATGTTCGATTAGAGGAACACAATTTTACCCATATAACTGCGCCGACTGACCTGAAAAGCAACAACATCTTCTATCTTTGAAAAAAAAAGTAATTTAAAGTTACCTTTAACGAACTCTCTCACTTTTCAAAATTGAACGGAAGCAAATTCCCCTGTATTAATTGTTTATGACCACGGAATATGCAAAAAAAGTGTCTACTTCTACCAATTAATTGACACATGGTCGGTATGGCTAAAAGCTGGATTAGTTACGACATTTTCGGTTACGAGAATTTTGGATCTAGTTCATAGGCATCAAATGATGGTTTCCCCAAAAATATCGTTTCAACATTCAAGCCCCAGAAATAAGAATTTCTGCTATGAACAAATTATCAACCATTTTACCCTAACAGGGAAAAACATAGTTAAAACCGGGTCGATGTACTCTGTTACTAAGATAACATCAAAACAAAATATCATGAATGGCATCCCTGCCGGCTTGCTCTAAAGATACTATATTTTGGCAACAGGAGTTGTGCCGGAGTAATTTAACAATAGAGACTGAATCATGAGCGTCGAACATGAGTCTTCGTTAACTGAGAACGATTGTTTTCCATGACCATTTGATTATGTTTGCAGAGGCGATTAAATGATAGAAGCCTAATCGCCCCGAGTAAGGAGTTTCAATATAATTTACCTTGCTTGCAAACTCTGGCCATTTTTTTGGCTCAATATGCAATGAGGTGGCGAGCTAAAACAAGATAAGTCTGCACTACTTGTCGTTTTGATGGCGATCACTCAGCAATCAGCTCGCTCCTCTTGCTAGTTTTTTTCTTTTCCGTTCACCGATTCTCTGAATGGTTCGCCACGAAGGGATCCTGCCCCCAAGCTTAAAATTGACATTATTAAATATCCTTATTCACGTGTGTTGCGAGGTTCTAAACTGTGGATCAATAGATAATAACTAAACTTGTACAAGCGAGCATCAGAATTTTAGCACACTGAATGTACACCAAGATAACTTACCTCGCATAGAACCGACAAAATGATAATCAGTTATGAGCCACGGCTCTTCTACCGCCAGAAAAAAAAAACTTAGAAGGACATTTTTCATTACAAACAGTTGTCAGTTAATAAAGATAAAGGAATTCTCTATTCTTTCCTGAGAGTTTCATCCAGTAATCATTACATAGGTCAAGTCAAAAACACTGTTGTAAACTTGTTTTCACAGTACTGGTTTTACGGTGGCCTCGATTAATTTACTTTATAAATACAACGTGTGTGGTTTGGACGTAAGTTAAATAAAGCACTGTAAAAATTTTAATTGGAACAGTTTTTTGCCCAATAGGATGAACATTAAAACTTCATTTATTCTAACAGGCGGTTTTTTTTTCTATGTTTTAGTTCTTTTGAACAATTTAAATTATGCTGATCGTATCATTCTCACATTTTTGCGCGTCCTGCAGAGGACCTGACACTGAAATGAAAATCAGGAGCTTTTCGATGCAAAGTATTTTGGGTATTAGTTCATTTCTAGTTACGCAAATACACCTGCTGCTTCCGAAAAAAATTGACATCATGAGCTTTTTAATGCAAGGTATTTTGGGATAAGTTCATTTTTAGTTACGAAAATACACTTACTGCTTCTATCGCTGAGATGAAAAATATCTTCCTCCCCATACACCCTCTTTTTCTTGAGAAAAGCAGGTAATACCAAATTTTGGAAAAGTACATCGCATTCCTCGGTAAATTAAATCGTACAATCATTTTTAATTCTGGTTTCTCTCAAAGCACGATCATAATTCAGCAAAACTTTAATTACATTTTAAAGTAATGACTTTTCAATTTAAGCTTCTAGCGTGTTTTCCTCGCTATTAGAACAGTCTTTTCATTTTGCCATGTTTTTATGACATTTCGGTTCTCAAATCAGACCGGATCAGACCGTTTGACTTCACACTGCAATGTGAAAATTATTTCTTTTGTGCTGTTAAGTTATATTTGCATAAGTGTTGAGAACAAAAGAGGTAACTTATAGCATAGAAACAACTCTGTTTTAAAATTTTGCTCTTTTCAGGCAAAGGTTTTCTGTAACTCTGGACCTGAGTCTGTGTAAAATCCATGTTAAAAAATATTGGTAAAATAAGACTTAAATTAAAAAAAAAAGGGTTTCCTTTGATGCTTGACAAATAAATTGTAACCATTCCCACCAAGCTCACCCTTGTTGATGTGTGGACGTGACATAAAACTTGAGTCGTGAACTTCAGTCGAGAACTGCTGGGACTGAAGTCCCGATTGAAATAACTAAAATATGACGAAGTCAACCATTGGGCTTTGATTTGTTTCCTTTGTTTTTTATGCCTATAGAATTTAGTTTTGATGTCTGTGACTTGTTCTGTAGGATGAATTTTGTTGATGCGACACTTAAAAACAGCGAAACATTTAACGAGTAGGTATTTAAATTAACGATTGCACGATAATTAGAACTAAAAGAATTCAGAATAAATGGGTTGATGGCTGTACTGATCAATGAAAATATATAATATAACAAACCAGCAAATAAAAGACATTTGTCATCCGAAAAAATTGTCGGATATGACGATTTTAGAACCAAATAAATATGAAGAGGCGTCCAGCACATGAAAAATCCTGAAGTCACCGATCGAAAGATTTTCAAAATGTTCTGGTTTTCTTTGGATCTCCGTGCATGTGTGTTGCCTTCATTACTGCTGATTTGAAACACAGCTCGCCTCTTTAGATGCTTAAAACTAATAGAATGAACAACTAATATTACAACCAGCAGAGCAAGATAGAATAAGATGAAACTTACGAAATGATACACTTTAAAAGGTAACGTGCTCATTAAGTTTCTACAAAATGTACGTCTCCCCTCGAGTTCGAGTACTATTTAGAATGGTTAAAGTGTGGTATGGCACATAACACAGGAAAAAGCCAGCTTAAAAAAGGAGAACTTTCCGAACCCTGGCAGTGATCTTAATGGCCTCAAGTTAGTGGAAAGACAATCGTAGTGAATCTATCCACAGATATTAACACCAAGCTCTCAATCGACACCACGTACAATACAGCTCTAGAATAAATCCCTAACTTGCAGAAAAAGGTAGCGATTGCTTGATTAGTAATTAAGCTTCCTCTACGCTTTAATATCCCTTCTGTGGCATAGAGCTGTCAATTGAGACTATGTCTCCCTCTTTCTAAATGTTCTGAGTTATAAAACGAATTTTAGGAACTTGTGACGTTTTTGATCATCACAAAGCATACTAAAACCACCTGCAAATTCTCCTCGTTTTGCATTCGATTTTAATTCTGTGTATGTAATTTGCAGTTGCGCTCATTAAGAGTGAATATATGTTTGTACACGTTATTTTTTTTGCATATTTGTTTCATTTGATCTACCAAACAGCCGCTTTTTCAGCCGCTTGCCACGAACAGTTCTGGATCTCAAGAATTTTCGGACTGGTTATCACTTTGTTTTCAAATTACATTCACTTTTCGTCATTTTTATTGTTGATCGCGTCGCCTGAACTGGGGGTTTGGAAATGCATTAAATTGATATTTCAGTACCTCTGACCTCTATAGAAATTGACAGCCCAGCAACTGCCAAAGAGGGTAAAAAGTAAATTTTATCGTGACACATACGAAATTCTCCATCCCCCTCTTCCCCCAGGTGATAAATAATTTTGTTTTTGGTGTATAATATTTATACTACGCCGCAAAACTACTTTTACAAGCACACTTGCCTTTGAGGAGGTCAATATTGAACTGATAACATAAAATAGTTGATATTTTGGCGTTTTGCGAAAGAAGAAGAATTAGGAATTAGGCTCTCTCTGACGCTGGGTTGTCTAATGCCGTCTGGATCAAGTAATAAACCACAAATATATGTTAAGGTGATCTTCTAAAATAAACGATACTGAGATTAATACTTTACCCTGTCTTGCTTTTGAATAATTCAGCGATTTATGAATACTACTAACTTGTTTAGAGAGTGTCCATGAAAAAACCAGGCGGAACCTGCCAGAGTGTGATAATGCACGAATAATGAGACTAGTTGCCTAATAGTTTTTTTTTCTGTTTTTGGAAGTTAAGAAATGGTTTCCACTACTCATGTAGAAATGATGACCAGAAGTTGATGCTCAGTGGAAATAATGGGCGTTATACTAAGGGAAAGTAGCTAGGGAAAGAAATAAAATTGAAAATTTTCAGCAGTTAATTGCGCTTGAAGTCTGGAAGATATAGAACGTAACCTGGTGTATTTAGATGGCTTCCTTGTTTGTCACAAGAGCAAAGCAAATTTAGTCAAATGGTTATTCAAAAAATGCAGAAAGTGGAGGTTTTCCAGGGGACCCCATATCTCCCAGGAAATTAAATTTATTTCGGCGTTTAAAAATTACCCAGTTCCTAATTCAATATACCAAACATTTTTGCCACATTTGAGCCAAATCGCGGTTTTTAAATCATTACCACTGCCCGGTTTTCTCGTAGCCAGTTTCAAAATTACTTACCCTATGAAAGTTTCAGAAAATTTCTGAAAAAGTCCAACAAATAAAAAATTACCTATGAGTGCTGAGCACTCAGCTAACTAACAAAGAAGTTTAACATATGGTTTAAGACAGCAGGAAAATGGAACACTGCCATTTTGGATTAAGAATGCTTCTTAAAAAGGGATGTACAAGGCTTCATCGTTCAACATCAGCCCACACAAATATCTCCACGTTTCTGTATTAACTGTCGCCAAAGGAGGTCAGTTGTTGCTGGGAGGATAGCTGGATGTGACGTCCAAAGAGATACTGTTGTAACACGTGGTTTCGAGTTGTGTTCCGTCTCCATCTACGTCAATGAAGAGTGCATATGTTAAAAGTTAACTCATAGAAATACTATCGAATAACTGCGAGAAAAATTAAATAAAACGAAAGATTCTATTTATTAAACTTTCTCTGCGTTTGTAATAGACAACACAACCCTGGTGGTGCTCTTTGATTTGACTGTTTTTAAAAACGAAAGGTTGCGCCTGCATTGTTATGAAAATCACCGAAAAATCTTTTTCGTGAAATAACGTTTCGCAGAAGTAAAGAAGCATGTCAGTACTAAATAGATGCAAACAAAGACGGTAATTGGGTCACCAGCTAAAATAAACAGCTCGTTTAATCATTGCCAGGGGACATTGTTTCGTTAATTGATATTTAATCCGTTTATTGACATTTGATTGTTTGATTAGCCGCGTGATTAACAATCGATGGCGTAATAGCTAAGTAACTTGATCATTCAGTTAGGACACGTTTTAAGTAATGCGAAATCAGAGACAAAGGTTATAAGCGTTTTGTACCTTACGGACTTTACGTTGAACGTCGCTAACCTGTAGAGTATTACTGTTCGATCTGCTGACCCCTTTTGCTGACCTGTTATTGAAATACCTTTGATTGGATATCGCCACAGAAGTAAGTAATTTGTTTTGTAACCGATTGAATTGAGAATTGTTAGTTCCCGTGCAATTTCATGAATCGCTCGCATTAGATTAGGTTTCTCAACAGTTTTGTATCTTTCCTATAGATCGAATAAAACAATATAAAGATTATACGATTCCGTATCCAATCATTCGTCCGAGAACCATTTTCCCTTGGAACAGACATAACCACAGAATAAGTAAGAGACGAATACTCTCATTCTACTTCAAATTCAAAATTATCCAATAACTAGAACCATTTTCGTCTAGGAACAAGCGATATAATCTTCAAAAAATGTTTTAATTTTCCCTTACCAGATATAGCAATTCCATCAGATCTTTTCTTGCAGCTGAACCATTTACAGCGACTCACAAGACAATAAAACCAGCCTACAAGGACTGTCCTTACCTGAAAAGTTTAAAAACCTCTCAAAATTAGAAAGAAAACTGCTGATTTGGTAATTTCGACGTAGAATTGATTAGGGATAATCATGCAAATTACATAAATCCAAGCAAACCAAAAAAAATGGCTTGGAAGATGATGAGAAGAAGAGTAGCCACACGTAACCATCTTTAATGCGCATAGTTTTAGTTTAATATCTCTTAATTGGCTTAGGAATTACAAATTTTCTCAGCCCAGTCGAAAAAAAATGCCTCTGAAAAGTGATAAGTGGTAAATATCATCCTCACCTTTGGAGTCGAGAAAGTGTAGAGTACAGGATTCACAGAGGAATTTACCGGCAGGACAAATACTGCAAACCATACATACGCCACACCTTGTTCATCGTGAAATTTGCCCGTTAGAGCAAGAATACTCAAAATTATTACAGGAATCCAGCAGGTAAAGTCTGTTAAGATGATAGCAAAAACCCTCCTTGCCAAAGTGGACTCTCTTTTGATGCTGTTCAAGCTGATCACTTCAGAATCACCGTGAGCCTTGATTCTTCTCTGTGACTTGGATACTTTCGCGATAATAGATATGTACGCCAACATGATGAAGAGGAAAGCTGCGAGATTCAAACCAATAAAAAGGCCAACAGAATATTCCCAGCCTGCCAGTCTTTCTGAAGACAAATGAAGAGGTAGACATACCGAGGAACGACCTTGGAAAGGGAGGGATATCCTTTAGAGTGAACACCAACTCCTTTTATCGTACACTTTAGTCCCAGAATTTAACACAGTTTTTCATTAGTATTTATACATAGCCAGTAATTAAGGGGGAAGGGAGAAAAGGAAAGGCAACAAGTAAGGTACCTTTGCCCATGTAGTAAAATATTGTTTACTTTGGGGATGTGGCTATATAATGATAGAGGATGATGTGGTTTGTTCAGGCACAGAAGGTGCGGTAAGCCACCATTATTTTGACAACAGATCTTTTCTACCAACTGAAGGAAGCCCCTCAAGGCCGAAGTTGTTTCGCCTTTACAAAGCTTCATTGACAAGATATTACAGACACGCAAACGCTCTGGTTTCACACAGGAAGATGTAGTGTAGAAGTTACGTAAGCTTATGGAATGCCCCATAGTTTCACAGTCAATGAAATGATAACTGCAAGGTAACTAAGAGCAGAACAATCTTTACCATAGAACCCATATCTTCTTTCCTCATTGAAAAAGTACGGAGTATCAAAAGCTGGTACAACAGCAATTGCAGTTCCGCAGAGCCACACCACGGCACAAATAATGTAAGTTCCTCTTAAAGTCAGACGTGAGCATCTGAAGGCAAAAACGATGCTCAGCAGACGGTCAGCGGTTATCACCGTGAGCATGAGTACCGAGACCTCACTTGAGAGTACCGATAGGGCGCCGGCCACTTTACAGAGGACTCCTGACCGCCATATCAGATCGAAGCTGAAGTAAGTACCTAAAATGAAAGGATATATGTGCTTACTTTCGTTTGACTTACAAAATTAAAGTAAAGGTTGAAAAGTTTAATTTAAAATGTACGAATGAAATCCTTAAAGTGTTTGATGAACTAGTCAGCGGGAGAATTCCTAACATTAACTTTGGCAATTATTACCGAGATTTGGAGATTTTCGTCCCACAGTTCAACAACTGTAGACAAACTGGTTTTCGCTGATTATTTTCAAAAGCGCGTGATTTAAAAAGCATCTTCCATGTCTTTAATTTAGAGGTGCTATTGAAGCTATATTACATCATCGGCGCTATTTTCAAGCCTTTACAAACATGCACTACTTTTAAAACATGTAGGTTGTGATTCTAAAGCACAATTTGTGACTGTTCGAAAATATTTTCAGGCTTTTCTTCGGTGTTCTTTATTTTTATTTACAGCACACCTGTGAGGTCCATTTGTCTACCTCTCTTCCATCTGCACTTAAAAATGCTGCATGATATGTACATGATATTAATTACCTGCCCATATCTCGTTTTTAATAGCTATTATCATGAGATACACCCCCATAAGGAAATCAGCCACAGCCAGATTGGTCAGAAGGCAGGTTTGAACTGGATGGTCGTCACGCCTGATGAGACGCCATGCTATCACTGCCAGATTACCAGCAACAGCTAGGGTACCCAGTAACCAGATACTTCTTTTAGGACCAGAGGCATCGATCATGCGATTGCAACTCGACAAGGCGTTACCCTCCAGCTTTGGATACTCACAGCTTACATTCTCAGTGTACTGAGAAGCGTAACAACACAGGGAGAAACTATCCACTCTCCTTGAAAGAGATGAAATACCACGCATTTTTTGATAAAAAAAAAATAACCAAAGCATCAAAACTCTTATGGTTTTTAACGTCGCGCAAGTCATTAAAAGTACATGTAATTCTTCGTCAAAAACTAACCACGTCTAAGCCTATGACCTGGTTGCCACTGATTAAGCAAAGTCACCATACTTATGGTTTCAAATGATTTAATTTGATTGTCCAATGTGCGCAAAGCTGTTGATGAGCAAAGAATCCGAACTTAAATTGAAAAATTTAAGAGAAGTGTTGATTGCTCTGATTGCATAAAAGGAAAGCAACTAAAATTTATTCCATACTTACAAGTTTCGTAGACTTTTAAGATAGCTGAACGTATCTAGAGGCATACGATTGATAAAATTGTTTTGTAGATGTCTAGGAGTAAAATTTATTGAAAACGTTTAGGGATCAATCTTTTGAATGGTCTGTTTTGTCCTTCTATGCATTTTTTGGATCTCAGTTCAATTTTGATGAAAAATTTCGCTATTGCGTAGCCATCACGGGTATGTGTTTATAGTCATGCGGTCTTAGTCAACAGGAGATTTGCTTCTCAGCCTTTTTGATTTGTTTGTCATACAAGGAAAAAATAAATTTTTTCATCTTAAGTCTTTGTAGTTGTCTTTTGTAAGAAGAACTACCTCGGTTAAATATCTCTTTAATGGAATTTCTTATGTTTTCTTTACCAAACTGGCACCTGTTGTATTCTAATGACTTAGAAAATCAAGCATAACACTGATCTCTTTTTATGATAACCTATTTCGTTTTGTATGCGTTGCATTGTTTGGCATAACTGCGATCAAGACTCGAGAACCAACAATCTATTTGGTTTATCGTGTAATACTCACAAGGTTTTAAGGTTATTAAGCCCAGAAAAGGCACCCATTTGGATTTCTTTAATCTTGTTGTTTTCCAGATACCTTTAAAAAAATTTCAAATCTTGAAGGAGAATTAAAACACAAGTTAATCATATTTTAATAATGAAAACATAGATAAATGCAAGTTCTTTTTTCACATGTAAAAATCAACACTCACAGAGTTTTCAAACGATTCAATTCGCTGAAGACCTCAACAGGAGATTTGCTTCTCAGCCTTTTTGATTTGTTTGTCATACAAGGAAAAAATAAATTTTTTCATCTTAAGTCTTTGTAGTTGTCTTTTGTAAGAAGAACTACCCCGGTTAAATATCTCTTTAACGGAATTTCTTACGTTTTCTTTACCAAACTGGCACGTGTTGTATTCTAATGACTTAGAAAATCAAGCATAACACTGATCTCTTTTTATGATAACCTATTTCGTTTTGTATGCGTTGCATTGTTTGGCATAACTGCGATCAAGACTCGAGAACCAACAATCTATTTGGTTTATCGTGTAATACTCACAAGGTTTTAAGGTTATTAAGCCCAGAAAAGGCACCCATTTGGATTTCTTTAATCTTGTTGTTTTCCAGTACCTTTAAAAAAATTTCAAAGCTTGAAGGAGAATTAAAACACAAGTTAACCATATTTTGATGGTGAAAACATAAATAAATGCAAGTTCTTTTTTCACATGTAAAAATTAACACTCACAGAGTTTTCAAACGATTCAATTCGCTGAAGACCTCAACAGGAGATTTGCTTCTCAGCCTTTTTTATTTGTTTGTCATACAAGGAAAAAATAAATTTGTTCATTTTGAATCTTTGTAGTTGTATTTTGTAAGAAGAACTACCTCGGTTAAATATCTCTTTAACGGAATTTCGTATGTTTTCTTTACCAAACTGGCACGTGTTGTATTCTAATGACTTAGAAAATCAAGCATAACACTGATCTCTTTTTATGATAACCTATTTCGTTTTGTATGCGTTGCATTGTTTGGCATAACTGCGATCAAGACTCGAGAACCAACAATCTATTTGGTTTATCGTGTAATGCTCACAAGGTTTTAAGGTTATTAAGCCCAGAAAAGGCACCCATTTGGATTGTTTTAATCTTGTTGTTTTCCAGATACCTTTAAAAAAATTTCAAAGCTTGTAGGAGAATTAAAACACTAGTTAATCATATTTTGATAATGAAAACATAGATAAATGCAAGTTCTTTTTTCACATGTAAAAATCAACACTCACAGAGTTTTCAAACGATTCAATTTGCTGAAGACCTTGGAAGGTATCTCGACCATTTTCGTTGTGAGTATAGTAAGTATAGCAAGTTTCGCTCATGCCCAGCCATACCAGGTAAGTGTTTATAATCATGCAGTCAACAGAAGATTTCCATCGGAGCCTTTTTGATTTTTTGTCATAAAAGGAGACAATAAATTTGTTCATTTTAGGTCTTTCTAGTTGTCTTTTGTAAGAAGAACTACCTCGGTTAAATATCTCTTTAACGGAATTTCGTATGTTTTCTTTACCAAACTGGCACCTGTTGTATTCTAATGACTTAGAAAATCAAGTATAACACTGATTTTTTTTATCTCTTTTTTTCTTTTTTGATAATCTATTTCGTTTTGTATGCGTTGCATTGTCTGGCATAACTGCGATCAAGACTCGAGAACCAACAATCTATTTGGTTTATCGTGTAATACTCACAAGGTTGTAAGGTTATTAAGCCCAGAAAAGGCACGCGGTGAGATGTTTTCAATCTTGTTGTTTTCCAGATACCTTAAAAAATTTCAAAGCTTATAAGAGAATTAAAACACAAGTTAACCATATTTTGATAGTGAAAACAGAGATAAAGGTAAGGTTTTTTTTCCCATGTAAAAATCAACACTCACAGAGTTTTCAAACCATTCAATTTGCTGAAGATCTTGGCAGGTATTTCGACCATTACGTTGTGAGACAGAACACTGCGAGAAAAAAAAAGATAACTGATACTTATCAAAAACATGTCTTACAATCAATCAAAACCATACGACAATAGTAAAAACAATAATGATAATGTCAACGATAGTTATAATGATAATGACAATAATAATGATAAGGATAATGATAATATTAACTTTTGATCAAGTTGTCTAATCTTCTGCAAAAAAATTTTCCTGAAAAGTCATTTCATTGTTACTATTATCAGGATGTCGAAACATCAGTCACCACTAACACCATTTGTTCTTTTCCGGAGTAGTACTCTCACACAGATGATCCGAACACACGCTCAAGTGTTACTTTTGGTTTCAAACCAATTACTGTAATAATAAAAAAAATTAATAATAGTAATAATAATGAAATTAGTTATAATAATAATCATAATAATGATGATGAAAATAAAGATAAAGATAATGATAATGTCCATTAAGTCCGCGCAATTAAAAATCTACAAGGCTAAAATATTTATTAAGAACAAACTGGGCGCTTTCGACGCTAGACATCATCAGGGTGAATTAAAAAAAAGTGATAATAGTAACAAAGCATAAAAAGGCGAGGAGGTCAATATCTCTTTGGGGGAATCGACATATTGAGCAACTCTGCGCTTTTTACTGACGATGAGATTACTTTGATAAATGATAGATTAAAAAACATATCATTTGCTAAAAATCACTGCGGCAGAGGTCAAACCATTTGAGCTATTTACACATCAAAGCGAGGGAATCGAAATCTGGAGGACCGAGACAAATCCAATTCAGTGGCAACACGATGGACTCGAACCTAGAAATCCAGATTTGAATTTAAAGCCCTGAACCATTCGGCCGTAGTGTCGATCTTCAATAGAACCTGAAAACAGACTTAGTAAAGAGGTTTGAAAAAGACGCTTATACGCGCTATTTCTCCTAGAAAATGGTTAAGAATACGTTTTTCAATTTATCTTGGCCAGTTCGAAGCTAAGGTTCCATAGAACAGCAATGTTATTAAAATACTTACATAGACAAGCAAACACCTTCCCTTTCAGGGATTATAATGACTGATAGTTTAGTTAAAAACCGTTTTCCGTGATATGATATACTACATCTTTGGGGTATTTTTGTTGCTGAGCTGTAACCAGAATTTTGGAACATAAAAATTAAAAAAAAATTTCCTAACGTCAACCATTAGAGCCCACTTACAGCATTTCTAAGCTTGGCAACTTGTTGAAGATGGGTCGAGCCAGGTTGGAGATTTTGTTGTAGGAGATATCTCTAAAAAGGAGAAACAATCTAATTGAAAATAATTTTTTTGTTTAAGAGCTTTTTTCCTCGTTGTTTGTTAAATGCCAAACCTTATAACTGAACTGTAAACTGAATCATGCTCAAGAAATATGACATTTTTTGCCGAAACCCTTTCAAGTCTTGTTTACTTAATTTCTGTTCAAAATTATCAACATGCGAGGTATTATCGTATAAATATCATATAAAACCAAATCTTTCAAATAAGCATCCTATCATTATGGCTAGTACTACCAGGGAGCAGCTCTAACAAGTCAATCTATTATAAACGAACTACCTGCTGTTGGAGTTTACCATGGCAAGCTTACTCCCTGTAGGAAGGGGAAGGAAACCTTCCATATGACCATTTTATCACCGTTAAAAGCAAAATGCTTTCCGATCATAATTAGGGTGGCTAGAATATTTGAAAATTTTCACTAACGTACATGAAACTTTATAAAAGTTATTCAGTAACTCATAGCAATATAGCCTTTTGCTTCAGCTCTTTCATGATCATAAATCCATTATTGAATACAAATTGCACTGCAGGATTATTATTTTTGAGCGGTCAAATGCTCATATCTACTCCTGATGTGTTATTTCAATTATTATGGCGGCTCTGCATCTAACGAATACTTCGCTTCAGACGCCTGTAATGCATATTGACGCCTCTATTGCATATGGCGTATGTAAAATAGTCAAACTGGTAATTTAATTTTACAAATATCAAGATGGCGGGTTTTTGTTTAGGCTAAATTCTTAGCTTTGGGGGTCCGCTCGCGCGCGGGAGCTCTTGCGCATCAGCTAAATTTTGAGCTATTCGTTGGTTCAATTTTGATAGCTAGCCTTGTATCGCAAATTTCGCTCATGCCCAGCCATACCAGGTGAGTGTTTATAATCACGCAGTCTTAGTCAATAGAAGATTTCCATCGGAGCCTTTTTGATTTTTTTGTCATAAAAGGAGAAAATTAATTTGTTCATTTTAAGACTTTGTAGTTGTCTTTTGTAAGAAGAACCACCTCGATTAAATATCTCTTTAACGGAATTTCTCATGTTTTCTTTACCAAACTTTTTGGCATGTGTTGTATTCTAATGACTTAGAAAATCAAGCATAACACTGTTTTTTTATCTCTTCTTTTTTTTCATAATCTATTTCGTTTTGTATGCGTTGCATTGATTGGCATAACTGCGATCAAGACTCGAGAATCAATAATCTATTTGGTTTATCGTGTAATACTTACAAGGTTGTAAGGTTATTAAGCCCAGAAAAGGCACGCCATGGGATTTTTTTAATCTTGTTGTTTTCCAGATACCTTTAAAAAAATTTCAAAGATTGTAAAAGAATTAAAACACAAGTTTATCATATTTTGATAGATAAAACATAGATAAAGGTAAGTTTTTTTTCCCATGTAAAAATCAACACTCACAGAGTTTTCAAACCATTCAATTTGCTGAAGATCTTGGCAGGTATTTCGACCATTTCGTTGTGAGACAGAACACTGCGAGAAAAAAAAATGATAATTGATACTCATCAAAGACATGTCTTACAATCAAACAAAACCGTACGACAATAGTAAAAACAATAATGATAATGACAACGATAGTTATAAAGATAATGACAATAACAATGATAAGGATAATGATAATATTAACTTTTGATCAAGTTGTCTAATCGTCTGTGAAAAAACTTTCCTGAAAAGTATTATCATTGGTACTATTATCAGGATGTCGAAACAGTCACCATTAACACCATTTGTTCTTTTCTGGAGTAGTACTCTCACACAGATGATCCGAACACACGCTCAAGTGTTACGTTTGGTTTCAAACCAATTACTGTAATATTAAAAAAAATTAATAACAGTGATAATGATAAAAGTAATAATAATAATAATAATTATAATAATAATGATGAAAATAAAGATAAAGATAATGATAATGTCCATTAAGTCCGCTTAAAAATGAGGATTAAGGATGAGCCATCTATAAGGTTAAAATATTTATTAAGAACAAACCAAACGCTTTTGACACTATTTCATTATCAGAGTGAATTAAAAACAAGAATGATGAGTAAAGAATGTTAAAAAAGCGAGGAGGCCAGTATCTCTTTGGGGGAATCGACATATTGAGCACCTCTGCGATTTTTGCTGACGATGAGATTAGTTTGATAAATGATAGATTAAAAAACATATCATTTGCTAAAAATCACTGCGGCGGAGGTCAAACCATTGAGCTATTTACACATCACAGCGAGGGAATCGAAATCTGCAGGACCGAGAAAAATCTAATTCAGTGGTAACACGAAGGACTCGAACTTAGAAATCCAGATTTGAATTCAAAGCCCCGAACCATTCGGCCGTAGTGTCGATCTTCTTAGTGAAGAGTTTTGAAAAAGACGCTTTTACCAGCTATTTCTCCCAGAAAATGGGTAAGAATAAGTTTTTCAACTGATCTTGGCCAGTTCGAAGCTAAGGTTCCACGGAAAAGTAATGTTATTGAAAGATTTACAAAGACAAGCAAACGCCGTCCCCTTTCAGGGATTATAATGGTTAATAGTTAAGTTAAAAACTGTGTTTTCGTGTTGTGATAAACTATATCTTTAAAGCTGAGTTACAACTAAAATTTTGGGAGATGAAAATAAAACAAAAATTTCTTAACGTCAACCATTAGAGCCCACTTACAGCGTTTCTAGGCTTTGCAACTTGTCGAAGATTGGTTTAGACAGCCTGGAGATATTGTTGTAGGAGATATCTCTGAAAAGAAGAAACAATCTAATTGAAAACATTTTCTTTGTTTAGGAACTTTTTCCTCGTTGTTTGTTAAATGCAAAACCCTATAACTGAACAGTAATCTGAATCATGCTCAAGAAATATGACATTTTTTGCCAAGACCCTGTCAAGTCTTGTTTACTTAATTTCTGTTCAAAGTTATGAACATGCGAGGTATTATCGCATAAATATCATATAAAACCAAATTGTTCAATTAAGCATCCTATCAGTATGACTAGCTCTACAAGGGAGCAGCTCTAACAAGTCAATCTATTATAAACGAACTACCTGCCGCTGGAGTTTACTATGACTAGCTTAATTCCTGTAGGAAGGGGGAAGGAAACCTTCCATATGACCATTTTATCACAGTTAAAAGCGTCATGGCTGGAATATTTAAACATTTTCACAACGTACATGAAACCTTATAAAAGTTATTCAGTCACCCGTAGCAATATAGCCTCTTGCTTCAAAATGCACTATAGGATTATTTTTACCCGTCAACTGCTCATATATACCTACTCCTGATGAGTTGTTTCAATTATTATGGCGGCTTCTTATCGCTTGCTTTTAACGCCCACTTTCGCTATTCATCAAAACGCCTGTATTGCATATTGCGTACGTAAAATGGTCAAACTGGTAATTTGATTTTACAAATATCAAGATGGTGAGTTTTTGTTTAGGCTTAATTTTTAGCTTTTGGGGTCCGCTGGCGCGCGGGAGCTCTTGTCCGTTTGCGACATGCCTCACGAGAACTCAGAAATGGGCTACTATACTATAACAATTGCAATGCGGTGTATTTTGCTCCGCTAGTGCGACCTGATAACAGGGATATTTGGTAGAGGGTACTAACAGAACTCGCAGCTTTGACAGGTCTTGAAATATATTCGGTGTAAGATTGACTAACACATTTATGGAAAGATAGCTGTGAAAAAATATAGATATTACTAGTTATCAAGCTCTGAGTTACCCTTATTTTTACATTGTTTACATTCTAGTAAATAAAATCTGACGTTATTTCACAATATTCTGGAAAATAACTCAAAAACTGCTTGCGCTTTGTTTAGGTAGTCCCATGATTGCGAGAAAAGTTTGGAATAAATAAACACGAGTAAATTCAAAGACTAAAAAAATTTCAAAGACTAAAAAAATTGCACTATCCCTTAGGGCGAGTGTAATTTGTGGTCTTTGAAAAAAATTACAAGAGCTTATTTATTCCAAATTGCTCGAGAAAAATCATGTGATTACGTTTTAATCATATAAATGAAAAAATTCGGGATAGCCTATCATAATTATGCAGAAGCAAAGCGCGCACATCAAGTGCAAAAAATAACTTATTCAAACCCTTCAAGTGACATTGTGCATTCGATCAAAACAACCGCGCACGATCAAAGCAATAATAAACAATGATATTTTCATGTCTTTAAGGCACAAAAAAGTTCAAAGTCCGGTTAAACACTTCTGCGTTGAATTACTCGAAAACTGCATTTATCTTGACCAATCAAAACTGAGTAATTTTTTCGTGTATCTTACTGGATCGGCAAACATTGCATCTTTAATTGTGACGGCAAAGCAATGGACATGTTACAAAAGCAATATCATGTAACTCAATTTCCATCGGTTCACTGGTGTAATTTAATGTAGGGGGTGAGACAGTCGATGGAGCATTTTATGAGTCAAGCGCTAGTAGCTCGTGTTTTACGAACACCCATCATAAGTTGATAGCCCAGAAATCGATAACAAGTGTTTTCTATTGTTTTAGACAGGTGCGAAAAAGTACTACAAGTAATCACCACCACAATAGTATTTAACCTTCGAAATTAAAGCGAGAGTATGTCACTGAGGACATAGAAATACAGCACAAAAGACGCTGCTAGCTACAACATGCCGGCAAACTTAGGAAAAGTAAAAAATTACGTGCATTTGAATTCCAAACACTCGGCACAAATTGAATACTCACAGTTCCTCTAGGGAGAAGAATTTCTCAAACGTGCCCTCCAATATCCCACTGATCCGATTCATTCTTAGGCCCCTAGCAAAAAAACAACACCAAAACAAGCTTAATCACGTGCATGCTTCTCGCCTACACTATTCAAGCTGTAATGAAATAAAGTCATGTTTATTAGTGAGTTTAAAAGCACTATTCAGCGGTCTCACGAACACACTTCTTTTGTTTGATAATAACATAATTGGAAACATTACACGCTTCTGATTGGCTGAAAACGAGTGCATTCTCATGTAACAAGAGTGCAAAGTTGTGACACGAGAAAACATTACAAGTAGTGCGCATGGTTTCCAAATTTCGTCTGTCTTGCCTTTCTGAGATGTTTTTTCATTTAAATTATTATCAAGTAAGAACGTGATTTCTCTTGCAATTTGGTATGGTAGGCACTTGAAAATTTTTTAAAGGCTCGGGCTCGTACGATTTTGTTTTTTTACTCGTGCTTATTAACACCAAAGTGCACTCGAAATCATGTTATTACCTATACTAACAAAAGTGCAAATTTGCAACAATTAATTAAATTACAAATAACGCGCGCGCTGTCAAAATTTATGTCAGTTTTGACTGTCTGTGATTCTTTTCTTTCGTAAATTATCGATAAGTAATAACATGATTTCTCGTCCCAATATGAACATACAAGGATGCTTGATTATTATTGATCATGATCATGATATAGGCCAGCTACTTACATAAATTTTGTAAAGTATCTTGTACCTTGCAACAGAAGGTGAATCCTGTGTTCTGATTGGCTGCCCGATCGGGTGAGATAGCCCATCTTGCCTGCTCGGGATTTCCCGCTTTGATCCCGCGCACGAAAAACATTTCTTAGAGCGGACTTAGAAATTTCGTAATTTTTGGAAAGCACATGTTAGTGATGGAGTCGCAAAAGAAGCAGAAGACAATCATCTTTTATTTTTAACGAGAGGAAATTTTTTTGCTTAAGGTTAGGGTTAGATGATATGATAAATTTTTTGTTGAGCAAGCATGTTTTTTTATTGAGAAAGCTTGTCAGCAAGGTTGCTTGCCTTTTCATGGACCTCGGCTTCGTCTTGGTCCATAAAAATGCATAAAAAGAACTCGGCAAACTTGACCTGGCGCTTGGTCAATAACCCATTTTACAATATCAATGCTAATTTCTTTATTTTAACTTATAATATGAATTTACAGATTTCAACCAAAAATCGTTGTTGTTGCAATAACCCTTTTAGTTCTTCTACTTACAAGTACTTGAGTTGCTTAAGTCCTCCGAACGCAATTCTCGTCAAATTCAATGGAAGAAGATTACGCGTAATCGATCTGTGACAATAGAGGGATAAATGCAGACTTAAAGATATCGTAATATTTACAATCATTAGTTGTTACAGCTATTTATATTGTTTATGCCTTTTTTACTGAGTAACTAAAATGTAAATAATTTGATTGATACCTTATTTGCATTCAATCAGGTAATACTTACAAGTACTGCAGGTAAGTTAAGTTTTCAAACGACTTTGGATAAATATGCCTCAAATAGGTACGAGTAAAAAACCTAGAATTAAAAGGAAAAAAAAACGATTATGAAAAACATGGAATTGCAAAATACTGTAAAATGACACTTGGCCTTCACATTTTGAAGTACACGTTGTGATATAACTAAAATAATTGTTTTAAACTTACAAATATTTTGTGGCGAGAGGAATGTCGCTCGGAACTGTTCCGGAACAGTCAACTCGAAACCAGAATGGATGTGATTTCAGTTTGCGACAGCTGCAAAAACGAGAGCATTCTGCGAAGGAAAAGCAAATGGATGGTGAGAGCAATATTCCAGAGGTTATTGCAATCCGCAAGGTAATGTGACAGGGAGATATTACTCGCTTTAAGAAGGGTTTTTCATTTATCATATTAAACTGCGGTGTTGTAAAAAGATTTTCGGCCCTGAGAAAAGCCATAACAACGCGCGTGAAAAGATACGATAGTTTTTCGCTTGTATTTGATATCGCCATTCAGCTGCTGACACGTCGGTTTTTCAGGAAATAAATTTCCTAGAGGGAGAAGAAAACCAAAATTCGAAAAGAAAAAACCGAAATTTACTCATTCAATGGGTTTGATAAGGACATTTTTTGCGGTTGAGAACGAAAATTGAAAACTGGAAGATTTGCCACAGGCCGATTTTAGCTGTTTACTTGAAAATACTTCTTCCTTTGGTAAGGAAAAATTTTATAACTGAGAATTTTTCTCTCGTGGGTTTGTATCAGAAATCTCACTTGTTCGCTGCGCTCACTCGATCGACTTCCGACACAACCAACTCGTACGAAAATATCATACCGAAATATTTTCCATAAAATGTCGTATATGTCCTTTAAGAAATGATATATTTGGTGGAACTGGTATTTTGGTTTCCTGGTGGCTGAGGAAGGCATTGCTAATCCACATATACAGATAGAATATGCTTCTTCATGAAAACTCGCAATCACTATTTGCAGCACGATTTAATCTCAGGTATATCTCTCTCATTACTTCCTTCACACATCCTATCAAAGTACTTGGAATGTTTTAATTTTGGGGTGTGTATGTGGGGGAGAGGGGTGGTGGAGGAGTTAATCTCATGTACTGACAAATTTTATTTTGTCTAGCGTACATTTAGCATCTTTTCGCACTGCTCGTTAAATAACAATAACATATACTCACTCTCGGTGTGAACTAGAATAGTTTTCGTATCCGAGCCGTTAAAATTACTTGCTCTGCAAGTGTAATTTCCTGATTTCGAATGCCATCTTGGTGTATAAATTACACTTGTGCTATTTTGTAAAACTCTCCCATTTTTAGACCATGTGATTCTGGGAGTAGGTGTACCGCCCGCTTGGCAGAGCAAGCTTTGAGAATAACACTCTAGCAAAGCCACAGTTTCCTCAGACACCCGAAAGCTAGGAGGATCTGTTGAAAAAAAGACAAGTGAAATAATCAATTCACGCCGCCTTTGAAACTTTCATCTCAAGGTACATTGTTGTTTAACTACATTGTATAAGTGACGATTAAACTCCAAATAAACCAAACATACACTAACCTCCAGTTTTTAAAGGTTTTGCCTTAAAGCTGGCCTCAAACCCCGTACTTTCACTAGATCCCAATTTTCCATATCTCTCCACACTCATTTTATTGCCACTAGACGCTAGGCGGTGAGGTGAAGAGCTTGCTTCACAAAGAATCCTGAGGACATTGCTGGACAAGGAATGCCCATCTCTGACAATGATATATGTCTCGAACAAACACGCCCATGGTCGAAGATTCATTTTCTTGATAGTCATCTCTATATAGTTTCCTGTAGGAACAGTGATTTTCCACTGCTTATATTCAACACAAGTGGTGGCTGAACCCATTGGTGAGGTTTTGGGTGTGGTTATAGGTGTGGTCGGCGCTGTAGCTGGTGTATTAATCGTAGATGGTTCGTCAAATGATGACATGGTAATTTGATCTTCGAAATTGTCTTCTTTCTCCCCATCAAAGGATATATAACAGGATCCGGAGGCTGGTGCAAATGTTTGTGTAGATAAAGTGGTACATTCAGTAGAATATGTCGGAAACGACTCTGAGGGCTCAGTCTCTTTCGTTGACGAGAGGGTAGCTATCAAAACTATGAACAAGAGAGACTTTTAGTTCTTATGGAGTCAGACTATTATTATTTCAGGAATTTCTGAGCTTCATGTCTGTTTCTGTCTAAATGATGAATGATGTGCCGTGAGTGAGTCACCATACCTTTTACGAATATTGAACGACTTTGAATAGACCACTGAGCGTATAAATGTCTTGATCTTGCTGAATCGGGCAGCTATTACGGCTCACGATACCATCTGCTTCTACCTTACCTGTGTTAGGCCTGTGTTAGAGTATTGCACGCCCTTACATTATCATGCTTTGGCAAAAACCTAAAGTGTATTCAAAAACGGGCGATTTGGACCGCAGAAAGTCTTACTACCACTGCCTTTTAGATATCATGTGACAGCTGACTAGGATATCAAGTTGTAAACAAAAAATTGATTGCTAGTTCCTATTAGGAGTGCTGAATGGTTCTCGCTTTAGTTTATGACTTTTTGTACAGGATTTGTCAAGAGAGAGAAAGACGTTTTATAATGTAAATTTTCACGACGGAAGCTGCAGTTTTCGAGTTTTTAATTTAGCAAACATAACTAATATTGTCGAACTCCTCACCGACGAAATTTACGACCTTTTTTGTGAATTGTTAAGAGAAAGTTTATGCACAAAAAAAAAAGGTCTCAAAATCTTTTCGCTCCAGGTAACACGAGGTATACTCGGTGAAGCGAAGAGGAGATACGAGAGTTCTGAATAGCTTGAGAAATTAAATGAAGTAAAGGTCTGGCACAAATCGATGAAAAATCCTTCTGTGACGCAGTAACTAATAGGCTTGACGAAGACAAAGCTAAAAAAGTACAAACGGAATAGCATCAGTTGCCATGAAATGTCTTCCAAATGTAACGAGGGTTATTGAATTATGGTTGAAATTATGAGAAAAACAACGAAAGCAAATCATAGCATCAAGCACTATGCACTCACAGTTATTATTATTTGTCAGCAAAATGTAATATTTTTTGGCAACTTGAGTTAAAGAAAGGGTGTGCTTAAAAAATATTTCGCGTTAGATTATTCATGATTTGAAAAACATAACAAGAATTGTACCTTTGTTCCAGATGAGAAGAAGCAGCCACGGGAGACATCCATCAATTGCTTTCATTTTCAATCAACAGTGCCAAGTTGAACTGGGTGGAGGACATAAAACAATGGGTTATTTCTCCAACACTTTTTTAAACTAGAAGGTCATGAAATTATACAGATATCACTGGTCATATTGATGCATTCATCTCTCGGAGACGATTTACTTAAAACCAATCTTTCCCCTTTTCCTTGACTTAATTTGCAGTAGAAGATGTTTATTTTACCTTCAAAGACTTTTCTTTTATTTAACTAAGAATCACAGAAGGTACGACATGATTTGCACTTCGAGAGCCAATGTACATGCAGTTACCCATAGCAACAACTTCTGATACCGAATGTGTTTAAATTATCAAAGCAGTCACTTAAATACATGGTTGATGATATTGACGTTCTGCTGTGACCCTTCATAAAGAGCCAGATGTTTGCACATTTTTGCTGTTTACAAGCTTTCCGTAAATTGTTCCTCTCCCCTACGCGCTAAACAGAGCTCAAGCTTGACGTTTTTTTTTGGTCTGTAAAGGAAAACAAGATTAATTTCAAAACACCGAGAGACCACCTTGGATCATCTTCAAAAAATAACTATTTTTCCGTGGTTTGCGCACAAACGATTTATTCATTTGTAGTCCACACAGAAGAAGATCAAAATGAATTTGCGTCGAAGATCTTGATTAGTTGCAAGGGCATGAAATCTCGTTTACTTGAAGGATCTAGAGATACAAAACTCTTAAAAAAAGCAGATAAGGCATTTTTATGTGCCATATCCCTAATAGAAAACCTTGTGCAATTTTTGAAAACGTTTCAACAAGAATTGCGCTAAGCCCAAGACTTGTACGTGTCTTGATTAACAGATCTGAAATTGTATTTAAACTTGAAAACAACCTCCAGCCTCCCATCTTCAACTTGGACTTCTTCAACTTGGAACTGATGACGATAAAATCTTATTGAGGGTACTCCGAAAAATAATCCAAATATCTGGTCCAGATGAAGCTAAAAAAATGCGACCAGTGTTATGTTATTTGATTAGCGAGAAGTACGTTCGATTACAGAAACACAATTTTACACATATAACTGCACCGACTGACCTGAAAAGCAACAACATCTTCTATCTTTGAAAAAACAAGTAATTTAAAGTTACCTTTAACGAGCTCTATCACTTTTTAAAATTGAACGGAAGCAAACTTCCCTATGTTAATTATTGATGGCCACGGAAAATGCAAAAAAATTGTCTACTTCTGCAATTTAATTGACAGATGATCGGTATCGCTAAAAGCTGGATTAGTTGATACATTTTCAGTTACGAAAATTTTGGATGTAGTTCATAAACATCAAATGATGGGTTCTTCAAAATATCATTTCAACATTCAAGCCCCAGAAATAAGAATTTCTGTTATGAACAAATTATCAACCATTTTACCCTAACAGGGAAAAACATAGTTAAAACCGGGTCGATATGCTCTGTTACTAAGACAACATCAAAACAAAATATCATGGGTGGCATTCCTGCTCGCCGTAAAGATACTATATTTTGGAGACAGGAGCTGTGCCGGAGTAATTTGTCAATAGGATCATGAGTATCGAACGTGAGTCTCCGTTCATTGAGAACGATTGTTTTCCAAGACCATTTGTTTATGTTTGCAGAGGCGATTAAATGATGGAAGCCTAATTTAATCGCCCCGAGTAAGGAGTTTCAATATAATTTATCTTGCTTGCAAATGGCCATTTTTTTGGCTCAATATGCAATGAGGTGGTGGGCTAAAACAAAATAAGTCTGCACTACTTGTCGTTTTGAGCGCGATCACTCAGCAATCAGCTCGCTCCTCTTACCAGTTTTTTTTTTATTTGTTTTAGTTCTTTTGAACAGTGTAATACAATGCTGATCGTATCATTCTTACATTTTTGCGCGTCCTGCAGAGGACCTGGCACTGAATTGAAAATCATGAGCTTTTCGATGTAAGGTATTTTGGGTATTAGTTCATTTTTAGTTACGAAAATACACCTGCTGCTTCGTCCAGTCATTTTTAATTAAGGTTTCTCTCAGGGACAGGCACGATCATAATTCAGCAAACCTTAAATTGCATTTTTGTTTTTTATTTCCTTTGTGATGTTAGGCTATATTTACATAGCTGTCGAGAACAAAAGAGATAACTTATAGCAGAGAAAACAACTCTGTTTTAAAATTTTGCCCTTTTCAGGCGAAGCTATTACGTAACTCTGGACTTGAATCTTTGTAAAATCCATGTTAAAAACATTGATATGATAAGACTTTAATGTGAAAAAAACCGATGTCCTTGGATGCTTGAAACCCAAAGTGTAACCATTTCCACCAAGCTCACCCTTGATGATGTGCAGACGTGAGAAAAAAATTGAGTCGGAAATTTTAGTCGAGAACTGCTGGAAAAAGTCCCGATTAAAATAATTGAAATAAAACGAAGTCAATCATCGGGCTTTGATTTGTTTCCTTTGTTCTGTATGTCAGCAGAATTTAGTCTTGAGACAATATATTTTTCTTGAGTTGGACTTGTTTTTCTGTTATTGGAAAAAACATATCTTCTTTCACATAAAATCTTTGGGAGAGCTTGCTCTTGCCTGGTAACCCTCATTTTGGTGTATTCGACCTAGTCTCCCTAATTTGATGTATTCGACCCAGTCTCCTCGCTCGCATCCAATCAAATGGGCTGTACACGCTTAAATCGGGTATTTGTTACACAGAAAGATCCAATCCTTAATCAAACTCTGACAATTCCCTCGTTTAACTTCCTTTGTCGATAGATTAACAACCACATAGGAAAAACGCAGACGGCAAAAGTTACTTCTGAATTGGTTACTTCTCTGAAATACATTTTCGTTTGCTTTTTTTCTAACCTTTCTAAAGATCCCCAACAGAAAAATCTCCTTTTGACCGTCAAAGCCAATACGACTCTCACAAACCACTGAAAAACATTCTCAAAAGATTCACCTCTGTTGTTTCCACAAGTGTGTCCTACTGATTCATATGATCGAAAGAGGAAGTTAAATGTTGAATAATAAGTGATAGTGGTAAGTAGGAAGTAAATAATAGATATTTTGGTTTGAAAACTTAGAAAAAAATAAATAGACAAATTTCTCTTTTTACATCTGGTAAAACAGTGCTGATGTACCTGTTTGACTTAACAAACATTTCTTTAAGGAGAATGGTTTCTGTAGGGGGGGTTCCATAACTTCCCCGTTAGACAGGTCATGTGGTACGCGCTGATATTGCTTTAAAAAATAGAGGCAATATTTTCTTACCTGCAGTATTTAATTCTGTGTGTTTTTTAATGATTGATATAGTTCTGTTCAGCGATAACATTTCCGGCAGGTGTTTATTTACAGTACTAAATGGGTTCGCTCTTTGTTTTGATGTAATTGAAGGTTGGTTTTATATTCCTCTCACGTAGCTGTAAGTAGCGTCGAGGCTTCTCTTCGAGTATGGGAGGCTCTATAGGTGATCTGTGATAAAGCCAAAAATTAATAAGTGACGTGTGATCGAGTTTTACAGAAAGGCAAAGTACGTTGAGGTTCGTGACGCGTTATATGCTGTTTAAAGTACACATGGAAAGTTGAAAAGTGAATTTTTCGAAAAAACTTATGCGTCTTCTTTGTTAAAGCAAGTTTGCATTGAATTTCGCAT